AAGGAAAAGCTGGGAAAACAAGAAGAATTAGAGGAAGGATTGATGAGACGCATTACCAAAATTAGAGAGAAGTATTACCTGGATGAAGTGAGAGAGAGCAAATCCTGGAGAAGCAGAGAGGGGTACGGGTTATTTATATCGGTGGCCGGTGGAAGAGGTCGTGGGGCGGTGGCGGTGGGGGGAAGTACGAGAACGAAGGTCAGTGGCGGTGAAGGAATTACGAGAATAGTGTGAGGAAAGACATATAATCAAGGAAGAAAGGCGGTGAATGGGGAACCGGTGAAGTGGGTAAACGGACGGAAGAAGAGACGGAAGAAGACGGAAAAAGGGCTAAACTTACGGCGATAAACGAAGTTGAATCTTATTATATAAGGGGGATGTGCAAACAGGCGACATGGTAGTCTCGCCGGTATTGATATATTTACGCTCTACCGTCTACACTTCCTCCTCCTCAATTTGGATTACAAATTAAGTTTTTCATTTTATTTTATTTAAAGATTAAAATATAAATAAAAAATAAAATTTATATGCTTAGAAATTACATCAAAAATTTCAATACGAAGTATATAACATAATTGTATTTAATATTTTATTCGATATTATTCCGTATAAAGAATATAATATGATATAATGAATTAGTATCTATTGTTTTATTTTATGTTGTAATGAATTATTTCAAATTATATTATATTAATTCAGAAAGACACATATTTGTATAATGTATTGTGCGTATAATATATTAGTATAACACAATGTGCGTGTGCGTGTGTACTATATATTTTTTTATATTTATATAATGTTAGCGAGTCTGTTGGCCCATGCAGGCTAAACCCAATGCCCAAGCTCGTTAACATTATCTTGCGGGCCAACCCAGCTCGACCCAAAAGAGTTCGTATAATTATCCATATCCGCCTATTTTTAAGAGCAAGATGGGCGGCCAGACCAGACCTCCCGAATGAGTTCATATAGTTATCATATTTTCTGAGCATGGGCGGATCTAACTTAGAGTATATGGGGGGAACTGCCCCTAGTCAAAGTAGTTTAAAATATTTGGATTTTTAATTAAATGTTTTTAATTTCTTGAAAAATTTTGTATGTCCATATTAATTTAGTAGCAATCCCGGAGAGATTGGTGTGAGTTCAAGTGTTTTAAAAAGGGGTACTAGAATGGGCGCCCCCCATCTACTTTCAAAAGTTATTTATAAAACCTTTATGGTATTTGAAAATGCATAGACACCCCTCTTGCTTATTTTTAGACATAAAATGATATTTCTGCACTTTATCTTTCTCTATCTTCAAGTTTCACTCTTTTGTTTGCATTTTTTGTTATACAAATAAATAAAATGAAATATATGCTATGTTTCTCAAATTAAAATTTTTCATTTATTTAAATTACCAAAAAATATTTTTTTGAAGAAAATGTTAAAAAAAATTAAAAATTAAAAAATGAAAAAAGTTCACTTTTTCATTATAAGTAAAAGTAAATAAATAAAATAAAAAACTAGATAACATATACTCACTCTATCTCTAATTAAAAATTCTAACTTATTTGTTTTTAAAAGTAAAATAAACTTTTAAGGACTTTAAAAAAAATGAAGAAAAGAAAGATGAAATAAAATATGGAGTTAGAGAAAAAGACTATTTTTTATGGTATTTTTCTTTATTTTTATTACCTTTTTCAAATATTATTTTTACTTTGTACATAACATTTTATTTTTCATTTTCTTTTGTAACATTCTCCAAGAAAATCTTTTGTTTTCAAAAATACATTACGAAAAATTCTAATTTGAGATGGGAAGTGTATATTTTATTTTATATATTTGTATAATAAAGGAAAATAAAATTAGAAAAATTCAAGATCGATGAAAAGAAAGGGCATAAATATCATTTTTTTTACTTTAAAAATAGGTAGGAAAGACATGTATGCTCTATTTAAAAATCATAGAAACTTTATAAAAAGAGTTTTTATACCCTTTTTGTAAATCACAAAAACGCCTAAAACTATTAACTCGTTTTAAAAATTACGGAGTAAAATACTAAAATCGGGCTTTTCTTTAATTTTTTTCTCCAATGAGAAATACACGGACCCAAAGAGCCGCTACAGTTCAAGTTTCAACGGCCCAGTACTGAATCGTTACATGGGTGGGGTTAATGGACTATCACCGGTTGGGTTCATCATCTCTAAAATGTGGAAGCTCGCTCATAAACCCTAGATTCATTACCATATACGCCGCACCTAAATTCCTATTTATATTCACATCCATGGCCTCCTCCAAATCGCAGAAACAGAGTTGCCAGAGCTTCGCCATCTCGAATCATCATTTTGGTCTCGTCTTCTCTTTAAGGTTTTTTGGTGTTTGATTTTTTTCCCTCGAATTGTAATTATTAGCAGCCGATGATGATGAATCTTTAAGGCTTGTTTCTCAAAACATTCGCAGTGGCCGCCTAAGTGCTTTCGCCTTTCGCCGGGCTTGAGAGCGTATGCTGCTTTCGTCCTTCCCTGGATGTCTGAGGCTCTTTTAATTCTCTGTTTTCTTCTTCTCTGTTTTTGTTTCCAGAGATTCTTCGTTACTAGTTCTGTGTTTTCAACCTGAGTCCGTTTTGATTCGTTTTTATCAGATCTGATTTGTTTTAAGTTTAATGGAACGATGTGATGATGATGATGAATAAACAAAAGGCTTGTTTCTCAGAACATTCGCAGTGGCCGCCTAAGAGCTTTCGCCTTCGCCGGGCTTGAGAGTTTATGCTGTTTATGTCCTTCCTCGGATGTCTGAATCACACCATTCTTTCTCCTTTTTCTGAATTTTATTTTTGTTCTTCGTCGATTTTCAGGTTAAATTCTGCAATGGAGATGTAGGCTGTGATGCTTAAAGTATAATACCATCAAACTCTGAAAGCAATCAGCTTCTTGATGATGCTTAAACATTAATCTGAGTCTTAGCCATATATCTCTCCTTTTTAACTCTTTCTTTTAGTGTTTGTCTTAAAAAGGCAACAAATTAGAGTCTCTGAAACCCTTTGTTCATGGCGTTATCAGCGCTGTACGTTGCCGATAACAAATTGGTGCTGAGATTCTGGCATTCGTTTTCATTCATCTCATGAAACGCATGCATTCAGATGCCCCTATACTTCGCAGTTTATTTGTTTCCCTTAAACCTCTAATTCAGATAAGATACGTAATTAACAATCTTTCAGGCAGAAATATTTTTAAATGGTGTTTTTCCAAGGACATATCTTTATTTGACGATAAAGTTTTTGAAGGGAGACGATGTTAATGAGTTAGTTCTACGCTGCAATTTATTGCGGTTGAATAAAAAGTTTCGCATAGTTTAACAATGGTAGAATTGTTTTTAATAGAACTGGCAAAGCTGGTTTGGACCAGATAACCTGATTCAACTAACTCGAAATTGGATTTGACTAGAACATTTGGAGCAATATTATAAAATTTAAAATAATTGGTTAATATATGGGAGAACAAAATGTTGACTTACGAATTGAACTAATATGGTTTCAACGTACCCAAGTTATTTATTTAAAGAAACATGATTATAATAGGTAACATATTGACATGTAGGACTGTTGACATTTCAAATTTCCTATTTCCGATTTCAAATTTCCTGCCTATATTCTTGCAACTGGTTGACATTTAGGACTACTGCATACTAATTACAGGTAAACTTGAAATTTAATTGTTATGACTATATCTGAACGTAGTTGCTAATAATACAGGTAAAATCGGACTTAATTGTTACAATTACTTCCTGATCTTAATTGTTACCATTACAAGGTTGATTAGATTGTAAACTTATACGGAGTATGCTACAGGTAAACTTGGAACTTAATTGTGACTAGGTATTATTTTTGAATTGCACTGTTCTAAGATATTAATTTGTAACTATTAAATGTCTAAGATATTAATTTGTAATTATTAAATGAGTCTGAGGTGTCACTGCCAACCACCATTCAAATCTGGTTTTCATGAATTGGCGGGACTAGAAAATGGCTAAACTAATTAATCTAAGCCAATTTAATGAAAAAGATAAGTGAAATTGAAAATATGTGAATATAGGAATCACTTGGATAGAGGTAGAAAAGGAAGAACGTCATATTTATGCACCTTGCTTCTTAGGTGCTTATAGACTTCTAAGCTTCATACAATGAGGTCTCTAAATTTCTCTTCATTTTTCTAAGTACAATCAACCACCATTTGTATTATCATCTTCATTATCCAATCTTTCATTTTCAGATTTAAGAATAGTAATGAAAAGGATTTGACACAAAATTGAACCCAAATTTATTTAGTATGTTTTTTAAAAATTTTACAGAGAAAGAGTGTATTAAAAATATTTTACATTAAGATAAGATTAGGATTAAATGAAAGGAAAACAATAAGCCTCGACATTCTAGCGAATCTGAAAAAAATAAGTTCATAATCAACAATTGTTTGAGAACCCATATTTAATAAAAGTTACTTTAAATTGAAATCAAGAAGAAGAGAATGTATAACACTTGAAGCAATATCCAAAAAGGAGAAGACACATGTCTAAACCAGTTCGTAATGATTTTATAGCAAGCTAATTGTCTTTTCTACCTTATTAAAAAGAGATTGCGAGGAGTTGCAGCAGGGACTGTTGCTTTTCATTCCTCTTGCTTCTTTCACTTGGCACTTGGAGGCTTCACCCTCACCTTTCTTATTGAGAGAACTAAAAGACATTTAACTGATTATACGAACTTAAAACTAAATATGTATAACAACTTTAAGACTTATGTGTTGTAATATTATCAAACATTAGGATCTAGTATCTTTAAAAACCACATGTATATGATGAAAAATAGATATATTTGCACCTAAAGTCTAAACTTCAATTGAAGATTATAAATTCATGTATACATAGAGAGCATATTCAAACATCACAATGCAGTGAAACTAAATTTGGAAAAATGACTTCTAATTTATTGATTGTTTGAGAAGTCCAAAGTTCAAAATGAATTCAAGAGAAGAAAAATACCACTTTAAAATGGTGGTGTCATTGTTGAAGTGTGATGTTGTTGACCTATAGCAAGAATCCAAAGACAGAGACATTATCACTCCATTGAAAAAAAGAGGAAAAAAAATGAAAGATTCAGTCATATCTATAAAGAAATTTCAATAAAAAAAAGAAAAAGGTGTTACCCTCGTCCCTGAATCCATGCCCTGCGAGGAGTTGTTCTCTGAATTTAATGGTTGAAACCCTAGCCTGGTTCTGCCATCCGTCCTTGCTGCATCTTTACCCCTTTATCACTGTCGTCTCTCTTCTGGCACTACGGATCTAGCCTAGGCTCAACGAGCAAAGAGGATCAGAAGAAAAATCAATCTATGTTCGTAGGGTATAAGTTGTGCACTCTCGAGACAGTGAGGAGATCGTGTCTGGACGGTTACTAAAATATTTGGGCGGGCTTTTTTGTTGGCCGCTCTTGTAAATAAGAGGATATAAAACAAGTCAAAGACGATTTTTTTACAAACTTACCTTTAACTACCATTATTTTTTTTTTTGAACCAAATGCAAATTTTATTCATCAATCCCTCTCATAATGTAAAATCAGCACGAAAACAAATACAACTGCTCTGCTGCCAAATACTAACAAATCACAAAGAAAACACATTCACGTAGAACCTAAAGTTTTAGGCCCCGTTTAGTACACGGAATTCAAATTATAGAATTGGAATTGAAGACTTCAATTCCAATTTTGGTGTTTGGTAGCACTAAAATTATGTGAATTTGGAATTGATGAATTCCAATTCTATAGAATTGAATCCCAAGGAATTTCAATTCCATTTCAATTCCAATTCCATCAATTCCGTATATCAAACGGAATCTTAGAGCTCAAAATGTTTGTGTGCAGGATCAAATTTTTTATTTTCCCGATATAGTATTCACTACAAAAAAATGCAGAATTGGCACGTATTTTGGCACGGAGTTCATTTTCAACTTTTCCGTGCTTAGACTATTTGGTACCAGTTTGGGCACGGATCGAGGTGGTAAACACAAGCAACAAATGCTATAATCTTCTTTCTGCAATACTGCCTCCCTCGAAATGGTGTTGACTCCAAGCATAGACCTTCTTAAAGCAGAGAAGATGAAGAGGTATTGTAGATTTGTGTGGAGGTGAAGAATAAAATAATGTGACTAAAAATAGCGCAATAGAGAGAAATTGAGCAACAAACGTGCAGAACAACAGTGAAGTCATTAGGGCATGGGGCAAATGCTGCGAGTTCGTTATGAAGTGTGTTTTTCTTTTTTGGAACTCTCAACTAAAGCAATATTTTTATCTTCCAAAAAAATCTATGGAATTTTCAAATTTTTTTAAAGGTCAAAATCATAAACTTTAAATTTATCAAATTATAGTTTGGCCCCAGTTGACCAACAAGTCACCTGGAAACCTGCTATTGGACTATCTTCCTCTGCAGTTTGACAGAGCAAACATTGAGTGTCAATTCAAAACCATTTGCTTAATCTGCTTTTGGTCTCAAGTTTGTTCTTACAAGTAAGCCAGAGAATAAATTTATGTTTAGGGATGGAAAATTTATTCCAAACAATATGTGATGATTTAACCTTCTGCATATGGCCCAAAAGTAATTGATACCTTATTCTTGGGTTATAGGGAACAAATATATTCATATCTACAAAGAGTTTCTGGTCTGTATGATCTTTTTTCAATAGAAGCACATATCACTTTTGTTTTAGCAATCCCATTATTGCTCACAAAACGCTTTGAAGAATCTAGTAGAATCTTAGGAAAGAGATTTGAAGGACGTGTGTGGATGCAAACCACATCTAGTTAATTGATAATTTTACTTTTTACTTTTTGGTTTGAAAATTATTTTTTATTTTTAAAAAAAGTAAAAAAAAATATAGTCTACAATCTTTCCATTTTTTAAACAAATTTCAATATTCATTTATTTATTTTTCAAAACTTTTCTTAAATTTGGCAAATTCAAACTATGAGAACAATTAAATTGGGAGAGTGTAATTTATGAGTAATTTATCAATTGGCACCTCTTTCCATTTCCTTATTAGTACTCATTCTCCTCATACTTCCCTCCACATCATCAATTTTTATGCAGCATCATTTTCTCCTTTTATTTTCCTGACCTCAATTTAACCATTCTTCTCCTTTTTTTAATCTTTGTTACACATATTTATTCTATTTTCAACCAATCAAAATTTATTTCATTATTTTACACCAATAAAAAATTTCTTTCTCTAAGAGCATTTTATTTTCCCCGCAATCACACCCTCACTTTTCACCACGCTCCTTTGCCACATAAACATTTTGAATATTTTTTTTAATAGTGCATATTACTTTTAAAAATATTGAAGTTAAACGTTGCTTGTTGCTGAAGGGGTCCTTAATATCCTCTCATATAATTCGTGAAGTAGCATATTTTATTTGTTTTACCATTTCTATTTGTAGAGAGAAACAAAAGGGTACCAATGTCTAATTGCAGTGTCAATAAGAATCTAACCATGATAATCACCTTAAAATAGTTACCCATATTCCTACTAATTAATTTTTGTGTGAAAAGTCTTCCACAATTCCTCCACTAGTTGGGTACAGAAGAATTACCTTTCCACAGGTAATGAAGAACACCATTTTCCTACTGCCTACTGGCACTCCATTGTCAACTGCTCTATTCTCCAAAGTGTCACTCTCAAGTTTCCACCTCTGTTTCTACTGCAACTTCCAAATCGAAAGCCACCTTAACATCAACTTTGTGGTCTTCCAAGGGGCTCCGCTCGCTCTTGCTCAAGCTTTCATCATCATCATCACCATCATCATCGTCATCATCATCACCATCATCGTCATGACCATGATCATCATCATCATCATCATCATCATCATTGTCACCACCATCATTTGATGGGGAACCATTCATGTCTTTAGTTGGTGTGATGAATGGTGAGTGCTGCAATGGTAATACATCATGACTTAGGACTTGCCCGGTCCCTAACCTCTTCTGATAGTCCTCCAACTCCAATCTGTAACGTTCTTTGTCCTTCATAGCCCTCTCCTGATAAATCTGGTCCCATCAAAATCAATCTTAGTTCATGAGCCAAAGGACAGAGAAACAAGGGCATGTTTGGATCTCGGGAAATGCTAGGGAAAGTGTGGGTGGGAGAGGGGGGGTGGGGGAGGGGGGTTGCCACATTATTTTCTAGTGTTTGATTTTACCATGGAAAATGCAATGGGAAATGAAATATGATTATTTTTTAACTGAGTTTGAAGAAAAGAGACAGGGAAGGATAAAAAACAGGGTGGAAATATGACTCAATGGTCCGTTAAATCGGAAAATGACAGGGAAGAAAAAAACAGGGTGAAAATATATAGAAAATTTTGAATGAAAAAACATGCAGGGAAATGAAAAAATGCATCTTTTGAGCCATTTGACGTAAAACTAGAAAAAGCGAGAAAAAATCACATTTTTTCCTAGCAATTTCCGGGATCCAAAGAAAAGAAAAGGGATGGAAAAAACATAACAGAAGTTGAGAACAATATGGTTAATACCGCTTTTTCAGAATCATTCAGTTTGTTCCATGACTCTCCAATCATCCTACTGATCTCCCTATCTTTCCCAGTAAAGAGTGGTTTCAATTTCCCGTGCTGTTCTTGAAAGAAAAAGTTATAACCACTTCTGTTCGGCTTAGGACGAAAAGGGTCTCTCCTTTTGATTTCGCATTTCTTCCTACGCTTTCTCTTAACCGTTCCCAATGTGTTATTATCGTTGCTGTTTGCAATAACAACTTGCATTTGGGACACATCTTGATTCTGTTGAACTACTTGATCTACCGGGGCGTATAGGACACCTTTGAATTCTTCTGATCCTATTTTTACCGTTATCAGATACCCACTCTCAAACTTCCCATCAATAACACCACACACTTCTGAACCTTCTGACGGTCTCACAGTTCCTGCAAGCACAAGCATATATAGAACTCTCAAGGCCATATCTTTGCTGAAATAAATTTTTTAAAATGTGCCAAGTGCTGCAAGGACATGATAGATAAGCAAATCTTTTTTATCCTTTCCGAAAGTACAGCACATTCAGCCAAATAACCCTTACCAAACGGGCAGAATGATCTATTTTTTGTGAGCAAAGGTCTGGCTAGTTCTTCTTAGTAGTACAATAAATAGTTTTTGACATGTTTTTTTAAATGGAGATTACTAAACATTTTTCCTCTTGAAAAGTTAGGCAGGTTCATTCATTTCATCCAAAGCATCCCTACCAAACTAGCCCTTATTGTCTAAAATTGGTAAGCACTGAAAATTCATACAAAAAAAGAGTAAATTCCATAATTGGTCCTTTATAACAGGAGGGGTTTCCCTATATCGTCCTCTATTATCAAATATTACCCCGGTGGTCCTTCTTTTATGAGTATCTTTCCACAAATGGTCCTTTTTGATCTTCTATCATGTTAGTATTAATTTGAGGGCTAAAAGTATAATTTCACAATGATAATATATCTTTCTTGTCATACCCAATTCCAAAGGCTGCTCTTGATGCACTGTTTGTAAATTACAGTCGTTTTCTACTATAATCATAGTCTACATATGTGGTCTTTCGGCGGAATCCTAGCTCAAAATCAGTCATTATTTTTTGTTATTCGTCTAACCAATATCAGAATACGTCACTGGACATAAGGTTGATGTCAAATTATATTTTTAGTTTTTAAATTAACATCAACGTGGCAGAAGATTAAAAAAGGACATTTTGAGGAAAGACACCCATAAAAGGACTACGGGAGTAATATTTGATAATGGAGGACTAAATATGGAAACCCCCTTGTTATAAAGGAGCAATTATGGAATTTACTAAAAAAAGGATTATTTATGCACCTGATCATGAAATGATAAAAAAGAAAGAATTGCTTTTTTTCAACAATCCTATGGAAAAAGTCAAAAAACACATTTTGCCTGCTTTAGTTGAAAACTGTGCGACCTTTTGCTGCTATTACTGTTTGTGGAATGGGCACTTCCACTGGAGTAACTGTTTCAGACAACCTGGTAGGCGGAGCAGTTATCGTGGCAACATTCTTCAAAGCATCTGCAGATGATCACATTTTCAGTTCTTTTTTTGAAAACAAAAACATCTCATGAATAACAAGAGAAAACTTTGAAGGTTTTTCACCCACCAGCTGATGGAGTCCAACATTTAGCATTAAAAAAATAGATTCGCTCATAGTGGTGAAGCAACGAAGCATAATATTTCCTAAGAACAAAAGAAGCATTTGTAGCTGAGGAAGGAAAGCTAAAAGTAGAAGTCACTTCTTTCCACCTTTTATCTCCAAGAACCTGAAATCCCATACCTCGTGTAAAAATTCAATTGCAGTTAAAATAGAGGCAAAAAACAAATCACTTTAAGCACGATAGAAGATTTCTCTTTATATAGATCTCCAAGTTTCTAAGTTAAATATGACAGATTTAGTGACTTCAAAATGAACCTTAAAGTTGTGAACAAAAACACAATGCTGTTTAGTTTCAAGTCTAGCAACAATCAATTATGTGTGAAATATAAGATCTATACATATATACTACATCTGTGATCTGTCCCAAAACAAGTCATGACAAAGCTACAACTTCTTAATTTGAGCAAGTTACAAGTATTTTAGAATGTTCAATGAAGGAAAGAATTTTGGTACATAACACTATGTTACATGTTAGTCACATAAGAAAGCAAAGAGTCTTGATTTCCTCTAGTGGGCCTAAAAGAGAAACTTTCAATTCAAAACATTACTATCCATACATTGTGAGGAGATACAGGAACATTATTTATTTAAAAAAAAAAATTTACCTTTGAAAGACCACCTCTAGAAGTAACCTCCACAAAGAGACGATGTAAGTCAAGGTATTTCCCTCCAATCACAGGAATCCTAAATAATCACAGTTTTGAAAATATAAATTTCTTGATCGAAAAGGTGCAGAGTATAATCACCAGAACTTAGAAGCCAAAGATTTTCAGAATATGAGATGTTACAACAATTCCAACAAGTAGCGAAAGAATTAGCACAGTGATCAATGACAATCCTATATCTGATACTAACCTTGCTATTTCTAAAGGTTTTCAAATCATTCACAAGTTATATCCCAACTTTGTTGGTGCCGTTAAGTCAAGATTTCTGCAACCTTACCAAGAACAACAACAATATTACCCCAGTGCCTCAATGGCTCCCGCCCCTTGCAGGGTCTTCAACCTTACCACTGTAAAAAATAGAGAGGTTGATTTTCATTTTGACCCTTGATGCATTACTGTTCAAAACTTGATACGGAGTAAAAAGTAAGAAGCAAGGAAGTTAAATGTCACGTTTCGATTTTGGTACATTATTTTTCCAATGCTAAAACATTGCCAATGCATCTTTAGTTTCACCCTTCAACAATCTTGTCGGGCCAGAGTGTGGGGGCGCCTAGGGTGGGCGATTTCTACTGCACACTCAAGCTGGACCCCACACTTTCCTAGATTAGATTTTGCTTATTCAAATGGTTTTGGAAGGGAAGGGAATCTGACCATTGGGCAAGAATAAGGCACATTTGGCATCTAACACAAGTAAAACAAAGTGTTACTATTCCAACCCAAGGAGACATTTAAAATAGACATACTTGCATTATAGAGCAGACGAAGACGAAAAAAGAAATGACTGAGTACATTAATAAAGCAAAGAAGATGGGAAGCAAGAAAGATGGAGGAACATAACATACTTGAACTTGGTACCAAGAGAAGCATGGAGCTTCTGGAGTGTGTCCATGAAGAGCTGAGGTGAGGCCATGACATCCTGATATGAAGCCAGAGGAGGTGGGTATGGGTAATAGCTTCTAGGAGGGGGGTGAACTTCTCTCAGTGGCATTGGGCTATTATCATTACTACCACCATTATTCTTGGCTTCCAGTGTAGGATATGATTCCATTTCACACAAGACTTTTATCAAACACCTTGCAGATGGTGACCAAAACATATATGCATACACACATGCAACAATTGCTGATCAAAGATTCCCCTTTTCCCCTGCAATGAAGCCCAAAATCAAGCGGAGATTCATGCTTATTATGAAGTGTATAATTAATAATGAGAGATTAGCTAAATAAAAAAATCGTCCGGGGAAAACTTCAAAAGGGACAGATGTGAGATATTACCGTGATGATTAAGAAGAATCAAGATGAGTTTTTTTTCAACCACTAACACCAATAATTATTACTCTATCCGTCCTAAAATAAATACACAGATGTGTAGAATTTCATTTTTTGAATTTATTTTATTTATAAAGTATTAGAAAAATAAAAAATATAAATTGCATATTAAAAAACTATATTAAAAGTTTATAAAAAGATAATAATAATATCTATTTTATTAAATGATTAATGAAATATATTACATCCGCCTCTAGTATTTGTCAAGTTTTGATTTTTTACACTTAAGTAGATTCGACATTTTATCTCTAATTAAATAAAACTTGTATGGTATACTCTTTCCGTCCAAAAATTATCAAATATTTTGATAAAATAATATTTTGAATAAAATTCCATAATTGGTCTTTTATCAGTTATAAAATGAGAATTTTCCTGTTTAGTATACTATTAACAAATATTCCCCCGGTGATCTTTCTTTTATTAATATTTTTCTACAAATAGTTTCTTTGATCTTCTATTATGCTGGTGTTACTTTGAGGGCTAAAAGTGTGATTTCACAATGATAATATAATTTTTTGTCATACACAATTTCAAAGAACGCTTCTGATGCGTCGTTTGTGAATTACAGTCGCTTTCTAGTTTGTACAACAATCAGAGTCTACAGATATGGTGTTCCGCATTCTAGTGCACAATCATAATTATTATTTTTGTGTTGTCCATCTAACCAATGTCAGAATACGTCACTCGACATATATAAAGTTGATGTCAAATTATACTTTTAGCGTTTAAATCGGGACATTTTTTTTAAATTGAACTGAATGGAACAGTAACCTTTCGTTCGGTTTTTGGTTTTGTATAAACATCAAAACAAAAAACTGAACCCAAACCTACATATTGTTATTTCTTCATCAGGTTAGGATTTTTACAATTTTCAAAACTTATAAATTTTTATTTTTATAAACCAAAAAATAGAAAAAAAATCAAAATAAAAATTGCATAAAACCAATCCGAACAACTAACGGTTTACATATTTTATTATGCAAAATCAAATCGAATTGAACCGTCAACTTACCTCCTATTCTATCTTTGGTTTTGGGTGAAAAACAAACTGCGAGCACCGAACCCTTAGGGAACGTACAAATCTAGCTTTAGCCATTCTACCAAAATTTCCTAATTTAGACCACAAGACTAGAATTTTCAACATTGCTCCATACATAAGAGACTCGTTTAACTTTTTTCAATTTTTGAACTATAATTAAATAAAATTTATATTTTATACTCCGTATTAGTTAGATAAAATGAAATTTTGAAAATGTTTGATATAATAAATCTAATAAAATTATTTTTTATCAATATCTTATATCATTTTTATTTAATTAAGGTTAAAATTTATTAAGTTTGACCGAAAAAATCAAAAATGGATAAATACTTTGGAACAAAAAATTAGAAAACGGTTTTCTATAAACGAGCTAGTATATTAATTACTACTCTATAATAAATAATGGGCCTGTTTGAGATTAGCGTTAGTGATTAGCATTAGCGTTTTGAAAAAGCTATCTACGGGCAGCGTTTAGCGTTAGCGTTTTCAAATTAATCTGCATAGTTAAAATTTTATCCAAAACGCTAACGCTAAACTCTAACGCTATTCCCAAACAGGCCCAATGTAAGCAAAATAGGGAGCAGTAAATGAACTTTGTCTTCTGCAAAACATTTATAATGGGTAGATGGTGGTTCATAATGATCAAAATGGATAGTTAATTATTTTGGGCAGTTAATTGAATAATGAATGGATTGAATGATATATTAATTTTTACAAAAAAAGAGAGAAATTGTAAGGGGATAAAACTTAAATTAATTAATGGACATAATAATATTCCCTTTGTCCTTAAAAACATGAGAAATTTTGATTTTTAAGAGACACTTTAGTTTTTTAAAAAGTCCTTTGATGTGACTGGTAAAAGTACGATTTGATAAGCATATTAATAAAGAATAAATGTGATGTGATAGATAGGTTAAGAATTATTAAGGGTAAAAGTGACTTTTTAGTAGAAATGAGAAAAGTTTTTGGAGCGGATGAAAAAAGAAAGAAAAAGGTTTTTAGGGAGGAAGAGAGTATATTAATAAAGAAATCACTCTAAATAGGACTAAAACATAGAGAAAGTGCCAAAGTAGGAGTTCCGTGTTTTTACTCTTAAAATAGGAGTTCGCACTGTGATAATGTATCACTGCACATGTGCATTTTACGTAATGTACAAGGTCATGGTTACGTTGGCAGTGTAGGAGTTCCGTGTTTTTACTCTTAAAATAAGAGTTCGCACTGTGATAATGTATCACTGCACATCTGCATTTTACGTAATGTACGAGGTCATGGTTGACAATGTAAATGCATTTTAACTCCTATTTTGATAACAAAAACATGAAACTCCTATTTTTATATACTTTCAATATTTTATTCATATTTTAATCTTTTTCTCATATTAATAATGATAATTATTTCTTTTTAAGTGCTAAGGGTTCAAAAAAAACTCGTATGTGGTTTGAGATTTGGGTGCCGTGATGACAGCTCCTTTTTCAGTTTTAGTTAATAGGGAGAAATTACCAATAATTTAGACTTTGTTAGAAATCCCAAAATTCCCTTAACCACTACTCCCTCCGTCCCATTTTAAATTGTCTGTTTGCCTTTTTTCTTCATCCCAAAATAAATTGCCTGTTAGTTGTTTTCGTAAACTTTTAAAAATAAAATACTTAAACTACCCCTAAAATAAGTCACTCTTCTTCACCTTATCTTCTCATTCATCATCACCCCTTCTAAAAGGTAATGGCAATTTCGAAAAATCAACTCTATTTTTTATTTTCTTTAAATATGTCCAAAAATCAAAACAGACGATTTAAATTGGGATGGAGGGAGTAGTTTTTTTCTTATGCTTCATGCCATTCAATTTTACTTCTCATGCCCCAATAATGTTTTAAATTGATGGATCATGTAGATTAAGAAAAATGAAATCTTAAAAGTGAAATAGAAAAGAAGAAAGAAATAGTTATAGCCAAAATTCTTTTTTAAATGAAATGTAGAATTTCTTTTGAGATAAATGAAAAAGAAAATGTAAAGTATTATTACGAGATGGATGAATGGAATCCTACTTTCATTCGAGCGTGTTTGTGGAAGATCACAAGTTCAAATCTGAATAAAGATTACTTTTAGTGCTTGTACATTCAAGTGAAAATTGTGAGATAAACTCTAAGATCTCCAAACACGTAAGATCATCCACAATGGAAATGCTTCAATAGTGTTTCGGAAGAATACCAGTTGCTTACTGGCATTTGCTGTTCAGCTGTAGTATTGAAATTGAACCACCATTAAAAAATTGAAATTATGGTTGAGAAGAAGAGGAATCAATGTAAACTACAGTACACAAATCTTCCCATGAGAAAAAAAAACCTTTATTTTAGGACAGACCAAAAAAGAAAAAGAAAAAGGGTAATCTTTTAATGGGACGGAGGGAGTATAATTTTAACGTCTAAACTAATGCGATGCTAAAATAACAACATACCCAGTAAAGTGTCACACGCCCCGCGGATGTCAAATGTACTGAAGAAGTGCATTTCCACCCGTGTGCATGTTTTCCATATGTTGGACAGTCTCATCTATGGAAGAAAGTATAGAGGGGAAGGGACGAGGGAACAGTAGCTTTAGTCTGAAGGCATCAACCCCATTCAAGTAATAGCGGAAAAGCCTTTTCGCTCTGATAAACCCTAGACGACCGTAGAGTGCAAGTGCACCTTGATTGGTAACTTCTGCTTCCAGAGTCACCTGAACAAGCTCAAATATATATAATGCTTCCACACACTTACCAGTTTGTATAATACATGTAAGATAGTTGGGCAAAAATAAAGAGATCCAATGCAAAGGAAAAGGAATTAAGGTTAGAAAAAGTTAATGGAGAATAATGCTTGGAAATTCGTGTGAAAAAGTTATTTGCATTAAGGTGTAAAATCAAGTGCAGATCCTTGCACTTATATTGAGCAATTTCTTGTTAACCTCCTACACGTATATGGAAGTAATGTAACAACTAACAAGAGAAGAGTCACTGCTAATCTTGAAATGCCTTTCCAAAATGGCTGAGATAGCTGATTTTATTCTGCTCTTTCATTTTCAATACAATGGTTTCGAAGTTTGTTTGGTTCAAAAGAGGGGATGGAACAAAAATGGAAGAGTGGAGATCATTTTGGACTTTGGAGGGTGGAGATCATTTTGGACTTTGGAGGAGTCTATAGCTCCTCCACTATCTTCCCCTTCCCCAAATAACTCCTGCAACCAAACACCCAAAACTCCTCCACTTTACTCCCCTACCTTCCAATGCCCCCCCCCCCCAACTAAACAAGGTCTAAACATATATCGTTCACATTGAAGAGTAACATCTATGCATCTCCCAAAATCCCAAGAACAGTGAATGCCAGCCCCTCCCCACCCAACGACCCCATACCTAGGGTCCCTATTGAATAAGAGGTTCACACATTATAATTTGTATAAAAACCACTTTTGATCTCTCGGCCGTAGTATCATTTTGACATCAAGCCCTCAACTATAAACTTAATAAATTCAGCCTCCTAGCTTTTCCCAATCCTTGCCCTTAAGGCTGATGACCAGATATGGAAATACCACTTCATCCCGTAGTTGAGAACTAAATATGAAATATATAGTTGAGGGGCCAAAAGCAGATTAAGTCATTTCAAATGTGTCCTCGTTTTTAATGCTTCCAACTATACATTTTTTTTGCTTTTGTTTTCAAATCTGGGAGCACTATACACTATACAGAGGCAAGGTAAAGATCAGGTAATAAGCAAACTCTATAATTATTCGTAGCTTTACCTCTTCACAGCCTGATGCCATCATCACCTTGATAGATCTTGTGACAAGTTCTGTGGCTAAAACAAAGAAATAGTAGGCCATAAATAAACAGATTAAAACTAAAACATCTAATCATAGAGAACATTGACATTTGATAGTTTTAAAAGTATATAGTTTAGTAGTTTACGCCACGCCCAACTCATGCACATCAAAATCCAAAATGTATTGCCATGTCCCAATTTCTCTAACCCTCTCAGAGTGTTTATCACCATTGACCACTATTGACTATTGTTTCAAGTAAATTGATTTATCAAAAAATCTACGAACAATCACATGATCAATCATATGTAATCTTTTCTGGACTCTATTGGGGGGCCTGTAGTGAATGAATTAATTTCTAGCTGTGAGTGTTCATTTTGGACATCCCATTGAGTGTCTCACATGAGTTTTGAGTCTAGTATATAGGCGTGAGGTGAAACTCACCCTTGAGAATCTTTTTAGGGACGGCCAATCACTAGATGGTTTGGACCAGCCTGTTTGGGGGTTGATTTGGACCCATTTGTCCAACCACCCGGTAGAAGGTTTGGGATGAAATATTTGTTGAGTATCCCAGCCACACCAATTGCCTCTTGAGTAGGTGTCTACTATACAAGTGTGAGGTTAATATCACATCTTGATGATCCTCTTAAGGACACAATTTAACACATCACATTTCCCCATTTGCGACATTGGGTTGTCCAAGCAGACATTGTTTTAAACATAAAGTTAATCAAAATTGCAAAAGGTTATGATATATTAAAGGAATAAGATCGTTGGTGCGGAGTAAATTTTAAGCAAAAGCTAATGACTTCAGTGTTGAGGTTCAGTTTCAAATGTGTTTAATTAGTAACATATCGCTGCATCCTGCATAAAGCAGCCTCTCTACCAATTGAGATGATGACCGAGTTTTCCCAAAATATGAAATCCAGAACGCTACTAGCTAATTACGTGTTAACAATTTGGCATGGAGTTTAATTGATAAAAAGTTGAGGTTTTTGGTGCTATTGACTCCCGTGTTAAACTCCGTATAAAATTAGCACCATTGGCCTTTGTGTTAATTAAATAAACACCAACGGCCGTGTCTTTTAAATAAGTGGGTCATTAGCCCCTATGTCCAATCAGTATCATGCACACGAACAAAGAACGAGTAAAAGACGACTCTACTTCTTCTTCTTCATTAAAGAACTGATAGTTGTATGGTTATTCTTTATTTCTTTTATCCATTCATTTAAACATAAACTCACCCTAGCCATAGCAGCAACGAAATCTTCCATAGGAAAAAACAGACAACTTCCAGACTCTTAAATGAAGAAAAAGAGTATAAAAACGCCTATTGCTCATTTTTGTGTGCGTGCACAACACTGCTTGGACAAGGGGCCAATGGTTCCACTCATTCATAACATAGAGGCCACTAGTGCTTGTTCAATTAACAAAGAGAACAATAAAGTGAATTTGGTATAAGTGTATAACAAAGGCCAATGGTGCCAAAAGCCCTAACAAGTAAATTTGATATGAAATATGAATCTGCCCAAACACCATAGAATTCTTAAGTTTGAAACCCTATAATTACTGGCAAGTATAAAACCTTCCCTTCAACATCTGAATCCCCCCTTTTTTTCAGTCTGCCATTGTTAAGACCCAATAGAAGCAAAGAAAACATGGAATTCTAATGACACTTACCGATCCCTTTCCCTCTGTAAGACTTGACAACCACAAGCATTGCAATGTAGCCTCTGAAAGTCCCTCTGTGCTCGCCCATCTTGCAAACCACAGTTCCCACGCATTGACCTTTGTAGAAAGCCTAAACACAGTCAGAATCGTCAATTAGCATAAATAAAAAAATCAAATAGAACGAATCAACTTCTCCGCCATTTCTGAACGAGGAAAGGAATCGATGAAATTCTTACGAGGAAACAGAGGTGAGGCCATTGATAGACGAAGTAGCGATAGGTGAAGATTGAGTAGGGTTCGCTGAGCTCTTCATCCACGAGATTCATGATAAGGGGCAAATGATGTTCGCCCCCATAGCTCACGTACTCGATTTCTGATGCATCACAGATCACTCTTTCTTCCTCTTCTCCCTTCGCCTCCATCTTAGTTTTTGTTGTTTGAGCTCATTTGCTTTTTTTTTCTTTGAAAAATTTGAGCTCATTTGTGAAAATTGCGTTTTTATAGGAGTAATTTCCCAAATTAGTCCTCAGTAAGTTTTAATTATTTACATGGTCCTCTATAATTGAGATTTATTCTCAAAATAGTCCTTTGTAATAAGGTATTTTTCCAAATCAGTCCTCAATAAGTTTTAATTACCTAGGTGGTCGTCTATAATTGAGATTTATCCCCAAGATGGTCCTTCATAAATAATGTTACTCAAATAAAGATTAATTGAGGTTATTTTTTTCTGCTAAATTTAGAATTAATTCTTAAAATAATCATTTATAATGAAATGATTTCCCAAAATGATTTTTCTAATTAAAGATGTGTATTTGATTTGAAATTTAAAAGATTTTTTTAAAGTTTTAAATAATTCATAAATTATTTATACTCAATGTATTTTTTAAATTTTACATTTAGTTGTACAGAAATGATTGTTTCAAAAATATACTTTAAATTTGGATTATCAAAATACCAAAATATCTCCCAGTTAATCCTCATTCGAGGATTGATTTGGGAAAACACCTTATTACAAAAGACCATTTTGAGATTTTACTTATAAATAATTTATGAATTATTTAAAACTTAAAAAATCTTTTAAATTTCAAATCAAATACACATCTTTAATTAGAAAAACCATTTTGGGAAAGCACTTCATAATAAATGATTATTTTAAAAATTAATTCTAAATTTAGCAGTGAAAAAATAACCTTAATTAATCCTCATTTGAGTAACATTATTTATGAAGGACCATCTTGGTGATAAATCTCAATTATAGAGGACCACCTAGGTAATTAAAACTTATTGAAGACTGATTTGGAAAAATATCTCATTACAAAGGACTATTTTGGGAATAAATCTCAATTATAGAGGACCACCTAGGTAATTAAAACCTATTGAGGACTAATTTGGGAAAATCCCTTATTACAAAGGACTATTTTGGGAATTTACTCTTTTTATAATTACTCTCGCCCTTTTTTATTAGGGATAGGCCCACATCAAGAGGGGTCGGTTTACAAAATTTAATTAAAATTATTTTTAATTCAATTTACTTGATTCTAATTATAAAATTAAGAAATAAAAATTATATATTTTAAAATTACATAAAAAGTTCTACAAAACAAAAGATAACATTGATTATATTATTTTATCAAATAACTAACGAAAATAGGTGAAGAAAGTGATTAAAATTTAACCATGTGAATAGTGATTAGGAAGATTATTTTAGGACAGAGTGAGTACCAAAATATAAGTTTCATATTTTTATTATCAAACAAGGAGTTCAAAATACATATGCAATGATAATCACGCCAATATATAGTATCAAAAAGTATGATGAAATATTTATATACAATGACACATTAACATACTACAAACTTCTATTTCGGACATAAAAAATATGAAGTTTCTAGTTTAGTACTTTCTCAATGTTTTACTCATATTTAAAGCAATTTCTTGAGTTTTTTTTCAAATGGTTTGGAATCGTTCGGGTTACAAGCTTATCCATCCTGAAAATGTCTACCACACAATTGGATGTACCTAGAGTTAGGTACATCCGACAAATTTTTATTTTAAATCAACATAGTATTCATTCTGAATCAACGTAGTATTCATTTTCACACATTTGCTTATTACAATTATAATACTATTTACGAGTGACATAGTGCTCATTCTCAGATTGCTTAGCATCGTATTATTTTCGAAATAACGTATTACTCATTCTAAAGTAGCATAATGTTCATTCCAAGTATGCTCAGTGTTCATACCACCCCCAACTTCATACCATCGCCTCCACCGACTTCATCTTCATCTCAGCTTCCAATTTTGCAGCGCTCTAATCAATTGGCTTCTTCTAATATCAAGTGCTCCATCAACTCAGCACTCTCTCACTCTTCATCAGTTGACGACATCTCTCGCACTTATGGTTTCGTCGATCAGCTCTACCATCAATCATCTTTCACAACAGAACTAGGCATCCCGTTTTAGCAACCGACTGTATCCAGACATGGGTACAACCGCCTGTACGGTAGAAGTTGTGATCCCTCCTTATCCCATTTATATTAGGGATCTCGACAAAATAGATACACGCATACCTACATACGGGGCAACGAAAAGGACTGAGAAAATATTTATGTCCCAGATCTCGTCCAATTTTAAATTGGTTCGGAACGAGTTCATGACAAAATGTTATCATCTCAAAAAAAACAAAATATTACAAAAATGGGACCGGAATATTTTGGATCGGGATTCTTGTGCACCCATATCTTTTATAGGGAGTAAAAGTTTCTATAATTAATAACTTTATTACGATATATATTCCATAATTATTTCATTAATATATAGTTAAATTTCATCTCAAATACTCATTCCAATTCCCATCTTTCAATAAATTTGAAATTTGCTAATTGTTGTTGTTGAATACTTGAATTTAACTACCAAGTTTTTACCGGATGGATTAAGAGATAGGAACCGTCAATTTTATGGATAGAGCACCGTATGTAGCGATCCGAAGTCATTCCATGACATGTGGTTCTAGCATGTGAACCCCTCTGTAGAAAGAAATACAAGGTCTGGATACACCCCAACTATGTTACCTAAAATTTCATCTTAAGGTAATTTACCTCACATCGAGATTAGTTCTCCATCATAATGTGTTTAATTTTTTCCCGAGTAGCTTTAAACATTATTTGTCCCATTGTCGGCTATCATTGAAACACTAACCTCATACCTTCAAAGCTATGTTATTTTTGGTAGTTTAATTGAATTTTTATACTTCTAAATTTAGAAATAAGGACTAATACTAAAGTCATGAAAAACTAATTTAAACTTTTGCATACTACCAGTATTAACTAACATTACCACATTTACAACCCTAATGAGCTAGGTTATGTACTCCCTCCGTCTACAAATAAACTTTACGTTCACTATTTACAGGGTCAGACTTTATTCACTTTGTTGATCTATTTTTGTCACCAATTTGATAAAATAATATAGTCCTGTCACCGCTAGCTTTGTAGATCTTTTGATATAGTTTTTAATTAATATGCAATTTTTATTTTTCATTTCTACACCATTTTTCATATAAAATGACTTCAGTCAAACATCGTAACGCGTAATATAAAGTTTATTTGTAGACAGAGGGAGTATTATATTCATAGCCTTACATATAGTTAGCATTCCAAAGTGTTATAAATCTAGTGCATTTTATTTCATCCTTTTAAATACATCAAAACTATTGAAGGACATAGTATATAAATACCTTTAATTTCTTGTGCAACATACGATCGAGTACAAATTTAATATTTGTAAAGATAACATTCAAAATCTGCCTTAAATGTACCATTAATTAATTAAGAATGTACCCTGGAGTACTACTTTTAGAAAACATTGCGTTTTTTGCATGCTTAATATGAATTCACCGTATGAAATACTCCTTCCGTTTCTTAAAACCTTCCTCTTTTATTTTTTTTGTTTTTCTTAAAACACTTCCCTTTTCTATTAAAAAACCACTTTTACCCCTTTTTTTATACCCTACCTATCACATCATACTTTTTCACTAACAACTAAACTATCACATCTTACTTTTACTCATCACATCAAGGGTAAAATTGGAAAGTCAACTACAATTTAACACTTCCTTATTTTCCCCCAAAGTCAAAAGAAGAACTCTTTTGAGAAACGGAGGGAGTAATTTCATATCGCCACGTATAGAAAATACGTTTTTGATTATCAACTTTTTTTCATAATTAAACTGATGATATAACCCTTTCCATAATTAAATAAGCTAATGCATCATGAACCTTCAACTCTTCATTCATCAGTATAAATAGGTGCACAAAAAAATTAAAGCTTCCATAACAAACTTTGAATCAAAATAATATACATAATTAATTATATATATTATCATAGTGAGAGATTTGTCATGGCTTCAGGTTTGGGGCACAGAAAGTTTTTTATGGCACTCCTAACTATCATTTTTATTTCGAAAGTGGCAGTTGCAAAAGAAATCTTATACCCAGTTTTGCCGCCGCCACACGCATGCCATGGCGCAGGGTGTATGCCCCAGCCGTCGCCGCCGAGTCCCGGCGGCGGTAATAGAGGATGTGAACCTTACGAACGTTGCCGAGGTGGCCCTCCCCCCGCACCTGCTACCTCCCAATCTCCTGTATATCAACACTAATTAATTAGTCCCTCCATCCCACAAAAAAGTTCCCATTTTGAATAGTATTTAGTCAAATATTTACACGCTTTGACTACAAATTGTGAGAAAAATATATTGAATTATGAAATAAATTTTATATAATTGGATTCATCTTAGGATCTAGTTTTGATATCTCAAAATTTTTTAGCATTTCTTTATTTAGATTATCTTTAATTTATAGTCAAAGTGTGCAATAGTTTGACCAATTTATGGTCAAAATGAGAACTTTTTTGTGGGACGGAGGTAGTATATTAATCGCCTAATTATTCAATTCTATGCTTTTTTTTATTATGTAATTTGTATTTTGTACAACCCCAAAATATTACTATAATTTAAAAGGGGATTGATAGAAGAATAATGTAATGTTATGCAATAAGAATGCGCATCATCATATGAGGTAATTTTAATTTCTCCATTTTCGATCTTTTTGATTTTTTTGTTCCACCTACCTAATTATTCTAATTGATCTGGAATGCTTGATTTAAGAAATATGAAAAAGAAAAAATAAATAAAGTTTGGACTGGAGAAGTATATACAGAGTAAAAAGCAATAATCCATATTACTCCGTACTATACATTGAAAAGGGGAATGCTTTTTTATTTTTTTGGTTCAATCGGTTCCACTTACCTAACTCGGTTTCTTTGATAACACTTTATACTCCACTTCACTGTGCCTAAAATGTTTTTCCTTTGATTTCTTTCGATCTCTAAAAGATTTCCCTTTACAAATAATGTTAAATTAATTATTCCCAAATTATATGAATTTATATTTAGAAGATTCAAATTAGAGAACAAAGATAATTACAATAATTTAATATAAATTTAATATCATTGAAATTACTACATAGAACATTTAATTTTTTTTCAAAAAAGAAAAGAAAAAAAAATACTTTTTTTAATTAAATAACAAGAAGACATTATATTTATCAAACGGAACCTAAGAAGTATTAGTGTAATAAACTCGATTTGAAAAATAGTACTCCCTCCGTCCACCTAAGATATTTCATTGCGTGTTACGAGGTTTGACCGATTTTATTTTTAATTCAATTTATTTGAATATAGAGATAAAATTTTAATATAAATCTATGTAGTAATAAACTATATGAAAAGTTCTACAAAATTAGAGGTGATAACAATATATTATTTTATAAAATAAATAATAAAAATAAACAAACAAAATAAATTAAATTTGACCCTGTGAATAATATTTGAGAAGATACTCCTATATGGTATACAGACGGAATATATTTTGAAATTCCCGGACCGCGAAAGTTCGTTACAGGCGCGAAATAAAACCTTTCGACCACCACGTGTCTATACTCCATTCGATCCTAACGATTCACGTGGATTCCAATCCGAGACACGAGCGCTCAGTCAATCCCAGCCGTCAAAAGTCGAATTTAATCGACGGTAGAAACTTGCAGCCGGAAAACCCGTCCTAAATTCCTCCTCTATAAAAACAGACAGCGAATCAGAATTAATCTAATCGCCATTTCCGATCAACTCTGCAATTCACACACTCAACCCAAATCGTTCCAATGGCTCGAACCAAGCAGACCGCCCGCAAGTCCACCGGAGGAAAGGCGCCGCGGAAGCAGCTGGCGACAAAGGCGGCGAGGAAGTCAGCGCCGGCGACGGGCGGAGTGAAGAAGCCGCACCGTTTCCGGCCGGGAACCGTGGCGCTGAGGGAGATCCGGAAATACCAGAAGTCCACGGAGCTTCTGATCCGGAAGCTCCCGTTCCAGAGACTGGTGAGGGAGATCGCCCAGGACTTCAAGACGGATCTGAGGTTCCAGAGCAGCGCCGTGTCGGCGCTGCAGGAGGCGGCGGAGGCGTATCTCGTCGGACTGTTCGAGGACACGAATCTGTGCGCGATTCACGCAAAGAGGGTCACCATTATGCCCAAGGACATGCAGCTCGCCAGGAGGATTCGCGGGGAGAGGGCTTAATTTTCTCCTTTTCCTCGAAATCATTTACTGTTTTGCGTAATTTCATGATCTGTAAATCTTAGGGTGGAACTCTGCTTTTACCTGATTGCCAATGAAATTTACCCTTCCTTTTGGTTAATTCTTCAGTTTTTTTCTAGCGCGGTGTTAATGATTCAATTGCTATTGCCAGTAGTAATTCTTGTTCGCGGTAAAAATGCAAACAGATAAATAAATAAACAGTAAATATTCAACGGATCCAAAATTTCACCACAGTAAAAGATAGCAACCTGCAAATTAATGGAAGAACTACTGGGAACAGATATGATACTCCCTTTCTTCAACCAAGCCGTTTATTCTCATTATCATCAGTTAACAACAGATTAACAAGAGGAAGATTAATCTAACGAGGTACAGACCGAGTCTAGCTACAGAGAGAGGAAGCAGTTGAAGATCCCGAGGAAAGCGCGGTGGAAATCGCGAGAAATCCCGGCGGCGTGAGCGGCGGATTCCCGCCGGAGAGTTTCAATGGACTCCATGAAAAGGTTGAGCCTTCTTACGGGAGGAATATACAGAGTCAGAGGGACGGCTGAGAAGGCCATGGCGAAGAACAACTGCAGCATCGATTTTCTTCTTCTTTTTCGATATCAATTTTGGTGGGCGGATTTCACAATTTCTTTATACAAAAAGCCGGAAACCATCTTCCCCCATTTATATATGGGCTACTAGTTGTTGACTTGTTGATGGTCAAACTCGCTCTGAATGGTAAAATGTCATCAAAACATTAAAATTGAGGTCACATTATTTTTATCTTTTAAATAAAAATTTGACAATGCGAACATTGACAATGTGATGGTAGCAGTGTGGTGGTTTAGTAGTCATCGTCGGTGATTAGTGGTGGCACTCCGGTGATAGCGTACAATATGTGAGTGATAATGTAAAATTCTATTTATATCACAAAGAGAGTTATTTCTATTTAGATATTTTTATTGCATTTTGTTCTTATTCAGAGAGCTATCTTATATGAAGTGTTTTTAAATACGAGTATACATTAAAATAAGTGTCTTAGTTAAATTTTTCTGAAAATACGAGCGCGATACCTGTGTCGTGACAATACAAGAGTATGATAAAGTGTGGTGGTAGTGGAATAATGGAGTGTAGTGATAGTGTGGTACTAGAGCGTGATAACAATGCAATGGTAAGCCACCGATGAATGTGGTTGGTAGGATATAAAAATCTTTTTAAAACTTACCATCACTTAAGATTATGGTTGAACAGGGTGATTGACTTTGTATTAAATTTTTGTTGACCAAGAAACCATGAGTTCAAAATTACTATCATCCAATTTATTGTTGATGGTTGGAATCGTCTAACCTTTAAAAATATGATTTTTGACAATTGTATCGAGAATCAACTATACTAAGCATAGAGTTTTTGCAAGTACTATGTGCAGACTCCATTCTTTATTACCAATCTCCAATTAAAGCCTAATTTATCTCCTCATAAAGACCGTTCTCGTTCGATCGGGTATGAAGAGTCCTTCATAGATGGAGCTCATTCTTTTTTAACTGTGTTAGGAAGTAAATATGCTAAGTAAAATCTCTAGAAATATCAGATGCATGTTCTACTCTTTGCTTTTAATCTACAATTAAAATCTAATTTATTTCTTTCATTGACCTTCTGATTGAGTTAGAGGATGCTCTTGCTTGGAGATGGGTTCATTTTTTTTAAATGAAAAGGGACAAACCGCTGCAAATTGCAGAGGGGTTGGGACTTGGGATTACTTAAAAATGGGGTGCTTTGGTTTGGGCTATCGGCCCCACGTTTCTCTGCCCCTACCTTTAAACCATTAAACCCTCTTTTCCCACTTTTGTGAAAAGTTTATTCATGCTTCTCCGCCCCTAGCTTTCCCGGAACACCACTCACCAGTGAACCCTCTTTCCCACTCGTGAGAGAAGTCCACCACTAAACCCTCTTTCCCACTAGTGGGAGCTGGGAAAGTCTGTTTTAACTTTAAATACTCTTAGTTTCCGTTTGGTACACAGAATTTAAACTATAAAATTGGAATTGAGGACTTTAATTCCATTTTTAGTGTTTGGTAACACAAAAAATATGTATATTTGAAATTGATAGTGTAAAAAATGAACTGGAATTGGTAGAATCCAATTCTATGGAATTGAGTCTTATAGTATTTCAATTCCGATTCAATTCGAATTTCATTAATTCCATATACCAAACAGACACTTACCATTTTAACCTGTATTAATTTTTTTATTCTTCAACGTTTTTTTCATTATGATATTTTTCATAATTATTCAATTTTTAATTTTGTATCATTACACAGTACATATATTTAACTTTGATGTTCCTCCCTAAAAATTCAATCCTATTTTCAAGAATCAAGACTATCCCAGAGTACCAATGTTCTAAAAATTTACCAAAATATTCACAAAATAAAGAATATACTAAATTTTAGTTGCATTTTAACTTTTAACTAGTCTTATTTTCAGAATATACTAAAATTTAGTTGCATTTTAACATTTCAGTCAAGTTTTTTTAAAAAAAAATCTTCTCTTACTTATAGGTTCAAATTTTGACTATTTTGAATACAAATTTGATCAAATAAATATTGTTAGATATTTTGAATACTTATAAGTGTGTTGTTAGACATTTAAAAAAGTAAATTCCCAAAATGACCTGGTATAATAGAGTGATTTTCTAAATAAAGAGCATAGTACATTACATAATTTTGTTAAAGAATTTACAAATAAGTGATAACGAAAAAATACTCATATGTATAAAGATACATACTCCGTATTATATTTATTTTATCGATGATTTTATCCAACTACGTACCATTTCACATAATAATATTCATGTTGCATAAATCAATGAAATATAGGAAAAAAATAAGTTTTTTTATTGTTTAGGAGTATTTTTTGAAGAACAAAAAATTTAATAATTTTACATATTAAGGGCCAGACCATCCTTGGACTACCCGGTCCCAAAACGGTCCCTACTTTTTCATGAAAGCCGAACTAATCTGGACCAACTTTTAAAAAAGACCGATCCTGTCCTAAATAATATAATGCTAGTTTTTTAAGAGAGCGCCAATCTGACTAATCCAGTCCTTTTGTTCATTGAAGCCCATTACACATAGTCTTAGATAAAGGACCATTTCAGGAATTGACTCTTTAAAATGCTTATAGTTATACTCCCTCCGCTGAAAAAAAACTCGTAAATACTATTCCTAGGTCAAACTGACACTAGTTTTCTTTATACATTTTTATCAATCATTGGATAAACTAAAATATCTTTATCACCATTGCTATGGAAAGGAGGAAGGTTCCCGTGGGTGTGATGAGAATTTCCACTGCTCTAAGGTTGCAATGGTTTGCAATCTCACCGAGTTAAATTATATTACCTCCGTAGCTAAATTATCATGAATAACGTGCAAAATCTTAATATTTTAAAATTCACTTCATACACACACACACATTGCTATATAAATAAAAATACAAGTAACGTATTTAATTTAAAAATTATATAATAAAGTTACAGGACAAGTAATGATATGTTTATTTTATTTATCAAATGATCAATTAAAATAAATAGATAAACAAATACTTTGTACTATTAGATGCCTCAGCCCTCAAGTAGTAGAGAGGATGATAATTTAGGGACAAAGAGAGTACAAACTATTTTTTTTTAAAAAACTACAATTAGTAAATTATGGTTGAGTTCAAATCCAAAAACACATTATTTAAACTTTGAATTTTTTTCACGACTTTAAATTTTGAAACCACCAACAAGGCATTATCCCGTCACTAAAAACAATTTAATAACAGATGAATACTCACAGTGACTAAATTTTAAAACCAAAATTGAAGAGAAAATTATGAATAAAAAAACTCAATGTGAATATAAATGTCGAATTCAATCACGAATACCCATTACCCAAAACAAAAAATTAGAGTGGTGTTCCGCTATTCGCGTTTGGAATTAGAGCATGTACAGCAGCGAGTTAAATTAGTGCCACGCCTGCCACGTCATATGGCATCCCTTGTTTGCAAGGCATGGAGGAAGCGTTCCACCCCTCTTTGCGAGGCATATCCGTGGCACTTTTGCACTATTTTTTTTCTTTCTTTTTTGTTAAAATTGGGACAGGTCTGAACATCTTTGTTATCTAGTACTTGTCCGTCTCATCCAATTTTGATTTCTCCTTCCGTCCAAAATAGAGTTTTGCACCATTTCTTTTCTTTCTTTTTTTATAGGTTTTTTAATGAATAATATTTTCCTATAAAGAAGTAAAAATATTTTTATGATAAAATAAATAAGTAAAACAATTAAAAAATATTTTTATATAATTTAATTTAAAAAATTTTAAAAAATTAATTTTCTCTTTGTACAATTAAAATCTTTACAAGAAAATGCAATAATTTATAATAAAAAAAGCACACATGGACTAATTAAAATATGTCAAAAATGTTAATATTACCAAAAAAAGATTACAATTATTTTTATTAAAAAAGGTAAGTAAAATAATTATTAATAATTAAAATATATTAAAAATGTGTAAAAATGATAAAAGGAGTGACTTGCCACTGCAAGACCTGCCACTCCACCCATGTACCACACGGTGACTGGACTACTTTTGATTGGTTAAAATACTTCACGTCATCGTGTGGCATTCAACTTCTTACTTGCCATTGCCCATGCTCTTAAGATGTACTGAGTAATACAGTAATAGATCGTCTAAGCCTAGTTTGGACTAATTAAAAAAATAAGGTTTTGAATTTGCATCAATAATAACAAATTAAAGGAGATAGTTTGGACTAATTAAAAAAATAAGGATTTGAATTTGCATCAATAGTAACAAATCAAAGGAGATAGTGCCTAATCGATCATTTGATCACATGCCTACATATTTGGATACATATAATTAAAGGGTGATTTCATTCATCGGCACGGTTCTAGTGACACTGGAGTTCGGTGCCATTCCGGTGTCACTGGCATTTTGGGGCACCTCTGGTGCTCCGTTCGCAAAATTGACGATTCCTACCCCCCTAACCACCCCCTAAACCCCCCACCCTACCCCCGCCCCTGCACCCCCACCACAACCCTCCCGTAAGGCCCCCACAAAATGTGTGGCTATTATGCAATGCATAATGTGCGAAGTAATTATATTTAAATGACAATTAGCATACTAGTACTCCCTCCGTCCCGCTATATTCGTCCACTTTTGACTTTTAGAACTGTTTATCTAAGCACTTTGACTCATCAAATTCTCTCAATGTGTAAACCTAAATATAGTCATGTGTGATCTTGTTTGATTTGTTTTAACATATAGATTATTAATTTATAATTTCTATAATTTTAATATACAAATTACAAGATAAAATGGATTAAAGAAGTGCATTGGATGGTGTGTAAAAATGAAAGTGGACAAATACTCTGGGTCGGAGGTAGTATCATAACAAAATCTGTAAATGACAAAATCATAGTGAGAAGTTATATCTGTTTTCCTCCTCAAACTAATGTGGGACCATCTACTCACATCCATGAGTAGATCTTATACTCTCCATGCACATGCTTTACCCAACTGATCATGCATGCACGTCGACTCATCACATGACCAGTAACTCCTAACAAAATTCTTATTATATTTCTCGGTTTACATACCTACAGTTTAGTTAGGTAGCGCAATCCATATTCAAGCTCAGAGTTTCATACTCTCAAATTCACATGTGATCATATTCAAGCCTACAGTTTAGAGCATCCACAATGATAGGAGTCTTAAGATTGTTTCAGACTCTGTCATACCAGCATTTTAGTAATCCAGACTCTTCCACGAACTTTCATAAAAACTATCACAACCTTTAGCTTGTGTTTGATGAGGTGAAATTGAATGGAAAGAAAACTATAGGAGATAAAACACCATTCCCAAAAAAATTCACTTGTTTGTTTGTAAGAGAAAATGGGGAGGGAGTGGAAAATGACTAATGATGGAAACAAAAAAGTTTTCTCCCCTCAAGAGGTGAGAAAATCTTCCAATGGAGAGAAAACTCAACAAATGGCATTTTTGTCCTTTATTGCATTCCATTGTGAAAAGTTATAATAAGGGTAAAAGTGTCTTTTTGCTTTATTACATTTTCTTTCCTCTTACTTCTTCTCCTCATTTTTCACTCATCCAAACAACATTCACTTTCTTTATATTTTCTCTGTATTTTCTCCTCTCTATTTTCTTTCCACCTATTTTTCTCTCCTTCCATATTCTCTTTTTATCCAAACAATGCATTAGACTTTGTCATCTTTTATTCTATTAACTTTTATTTCTATTTAATCAGTTATCTAATATATAATTATATTATACATTGAATTTTCTACCAAATTTGTTTATAAATATAATTAACCATTTAAAAAATCAACAACATAAAATTAGATAAGATTCTATAAATCTAATACACATAAAATGTATTAAATAAAATCATTTAAGTAAACACATAAAAATAAATTACATAAAATAGAATTAAAAGCACAACAAATTAAAATTACATAAATAGACTTAATTGAAATGTATAACGACTCCGATTTGGTTGATTCTCTAGAGAATGCCAAACATAAGAAATTTAATTAAAAAAGTGCATAAATAAAAATTACATAAAATAAAAATAAAAGCATAACAAAATAAAATTTTTATAAGGTTACGTTACGTTCAATTTATTTTTCTATTACTTATTCTTATTATAATTTGATCAAACTAGAAATACTTTTAATTATAATTACAATCAAGAGTATTGCTTTCATATTACATTTTCAACTTAACCTTATCTTGCTTTCAATAATCCAGTATTTGGCGTCAATTTTTGAGTGTCTAAATCCAAGTATCAGTGTGACACTGTCCCCTGAAGCAAAATGGCGAAGAAGAAGAAGAGGAGAGTTCCAGAAGTGCTTTGGAGGCTATTCCACAACCGCGCCCGGACTCTTTGCGATACGATCATATCCTTGATTCCTCCGCCACCGTCTCCGGAGGCGGATTGCCTCTGCAATGGCCGTGGATGCCTTGGCTGCGGTGGCGCTAACGCAATGGCGTCTCTCCTCAGACCTACCGACCCTCCGGATTACCGGAAGCTTCTCAGTCACTGCTTTGTCGTCCTGGGTGAAAATGCTCCTTCGTTATCAGTCTTAGATCCTCACAACCGCTGGTCCCAGGTTGAGGTATGTCTCAGAATACTCCTTATATACTTACTATGGCAGATTAATTTACAGCGAAAATGTGATTGTTTGTTAAATAGAAGTTAGTCTTCTTACAAGCTTATGCTCTTGTATGATCTTACTCGCAAATGAGTTGTTTTTATTAAACAGATCTGTTGTCCTCATCGTTTGTTGTTATTGGTGAAAAATTCCCAACATGAATTATATGTCTGTGATTTTTGTATTTTCATTTGAAAATATGCCTGAGATGATATATCTTACTAAATGTGTATACATTCGTTTCAATGGTTTCATAATGTAAACATCTTAGAGAGATTGAGGCAGTTTAGGTGAGTGTAAACTTTTACCAATTACCATAATGTTCACACTTCACATTGGCTTTCACCTTTGCGCCTGTTTCTTTATACTTCAATTATTTCACTAAAATCTTCAAACCCGTGAAAGTGTTATTTTAATTTTTTCAAAATATTGACATCTTCCTGAAGTTCTCAAAGTCTCCTAGGTCTACTTACATCTCACTCTCCCTAGACCATACTTTTTTTCTTCAGCATGTTTGGCTTGGTTTGATACTTTGATCAGGTGAGTTTAAAACTTGGCCAAAATAGCCAATGAAGTGTGACTTATCGAAATTGTGGGGAGAAACCTGAATAAACTGATCTAAAAGAAATAATGTCTAAATGTGACGGTACAGTGGCATTCGTCTTCATTTTTACCATATAACCCGAAAACTAACACTGTCGCTATTTTTTTAAACAGCTAGATCAAAGAGCACTAACCAGTAAAGGTTTAAGTATTTGAGGAGTGCATAAGAAGTAAAAAACATTTTGATAATCAAGATAACATACTCCTTGTGAAAATGTCCTGAATTTTGGTTATTCAAGGTGTTGACTTCGAGGAGTTTGGTACACTACTCATGCACTCTCTCTCTCTGGTGGACATGGCTATGTTATATAGTTCACAGATTTCCAAAAAACACCTCTAAAACTCCTCTAATATGAGACCATTAATCATTATTAAGTCTGGCTTGTTCCATAAAGTGCTACTGATACTGGAGTTTTGGAAGTCTTTGCTTGATGGCTTGGCTCTAGTGGATTTGCATAGCAGAAGCTCTGCTCTTTGAATCCTGCTAAATTCAAGTATGTTTTTTTTTTAAAAAAACTTAATTAAGATTTGCTCTTCCAGATTGTTAGAAGAACAATCGAAGCACTGATGTCTGAGCAGCCCACCTCATCTAATATAATTTGCTATGACTATGATAAGGTGACTGCAACTACTTTTTCACCTTTTGTTTGAGCAGAGTATGTATTTTAGTCTTCAGTCTTCACCCTTCAGTTTTATCTTCTTGAAGAACATGCTGACTAAGCTCTGACATGAATCATTGGGTTGCATTTTTTTGACAGGCGAGCTGCTCAAGTTCTTTATCTGTGATTGAGCTTCTGACATCCTCTGCATGGCGCCTTCTCTTGAGAAGAGTGAGTAATTTTTCTTTTTTCTTGGTTCCAGCTCGGCATGCTAACCATGCTTCATTGATGAATATGTAAAATTTATGGTTTATCTACATTCTGAATGTATCATAAACAGGTTGGGGACGCCCTTATGATTTACATGCTAAGGAATGCTTCAATATTCATGCCCTTTCCTCAAAAAGCACTCCATCAAGTGGCAGGTTTTCCTATCAGTGACCTGTGTTTCGCATCCTCCAAGCATACTTCCTGTGAGTATGAGTTTCATTTATTGAAGATGAGTATAAAATAGCTTTCCGTCACTAAAGCTTATGTTTTGTTTGAGGCTGTGCGCATACTTCAGAAAGATATCAATAGAAAATTCAGCAAACAGAAGGTCATAGGTTCAAACTCAATGTGGTTACTGTGATCACATTGCATCCTCATGTTTGACCCCTAACAAATCTCTAAGTTTAGTTTTCTCACACAGATTAATGATGATTGTTACAGCATTACAGGTTTATTCCAATTTTAGGATATTGTGACATCTCTCAGTTTGTTTTTCTTAATATAGAAGTTTACTTCTAGTAGGCAGTAGAAAAAGAAAAATCACTGATGAAATGTGGTCAACGTCATTGAAGCAACTATGCACTAGGTTTGTTTGCTCTTGATGTTACTTAAGGTTAGCTTATCCTTAATCGGCGGTGATGATAAGAATAGTCTGATCTCATCCACCAACTGTTAGGCCAAGCTGCACCAAAGAGGAGTCATCAAATGGGACTTCGGCATGTGGTGGAGACAACTGCATGAGTAAAAGAGCACATTCACTTGCTGTTGGCCAAGGTTCCTCAAACCATTTTCTTTCATTGAACAGGAAACGGAAAAGACCCAGTAGTTGGCAACGTCATAGAAAACATCAGCCATTGGCAAATCAAGAAGCAACACAGTCCTCAAATCCACACAGGAATTTGACAGAGAAAGGAGAATCACCTTCTGGTCTTCCACATGAAAGAAGTGTTAGAGTAAGCTTTTCCTTATTTATGGATGATTTTGAGAGCACTGTTAGAAAGATTGTGTGTATACAATGTACACATGTATACACCATTCTAGTGTGTCTGTGTGTGTGTGTGAAAATAAAATATGTTGAAGTGAAAGCATAGAATTCTAAAATGCCTTCTCACATAGAGCTCAAAAATATGCTTATGGAGTTGTTTCGTATGCTGCTACCTGGCTAGACTGCATGCCTTTTGTCATTAATAAAGCCAGGGAAATAAGCGTGGTTGCATTAAGAGTGCAAAAAGCCAGAAGGAAAAATGTCAAGTTTTTTAAGCTCTGCAGATTAATGCACGTGCAACTACAACCATTTTCTTTAATTGCTTTTTTAAAGGCCTGAGATTAGGTTTGCTTATATTTTAATGAAATAGAAAGATAATGATAAAACAGAAAGATCTATTACGAAATGCATTTGCGTTTGCCTCTAAATTATAAATAGCAGCATTCGAAGTAAAACTTATAGACTCTTCATAACGACAGACAATGGGATGGTGCTCTTGTTGCCTTGTATTTTCTACTCAATTGAAACTCAGAGAGGAGATCATTATCAAGAAAAGCACCATGTTCTACAAGCTAGAGAGTTGTTCAACTGTCTTTCCTGGAAAACGTATCCTTCTGTATTGCACATTTATGATAGTTTACTTAGCATGTCTTAAAAATTTGGTCTTCTGTTCCCATTGTAAATCAATATTATTAACGGAAAACTACATATCATGAAATACTACCTCCGTCCTTAAATAAAACTGGCACTTTGATTTCACACACAGATCTTAAGAAAAAAGCTGAAAAGTGAATAGTTTATTGTTATAAATGGTTTGAAAGAGAGAAATATTGTGAGCCATGCATTCCTTTTCTCAAAAGCGAATGGAGAAAGTGCAAAGTTTATTTTGGGATGGACGAAAAAGGAAAGTGTAAAGATTATTCGAGCACGGAGGTAGTATATAGCACATTACTCTAAAGCTTTGCTAGCTTTAATTCGCTTATATCTCTGTAGACCACTCTAGCACTTCCCTATACATAACCTCTCTTAGGCATTAAATAGTAAAAGCTTGCGCTCTTTTATTCTTTAGAATGTGTTTACCATCTAAAAAGTGGTCAGATATACTGAATTCTTTGAAGCCCAACTCTTCTGGTGCAAGCGATCTCTTCAAGGAAATTTTTGGATCTTGTGGTAGTAAGATCAATGGACATATTTCACCTTGTGTACATAGCTCTGAGTGCTGTTTTGTCAGATCAACATGCTTGTGAGTTATCCTTAGTCTCAATTCTTTCTCACATTTCCGTTTTTTAAATTAATTTTAATGTTTGTTTTACTTATTGAATTGTATGGGTTAAGATAGGAGGTTGAATAGCGTTAACAAATTGGACACAGTATTTATAGAAACAAGAAGAATATATAGATTTAATCTAATGTGGAAGACATTATTTTCGGTGGTTATCTCACAATCCATCAAGAACCACACAGGTATACCCTATACCTAGAGGTGCATTTCCTGACGATGTCTTGCTCAAGCACACACATTTCATGTACACTAAAGGTCTAAAATCAGATCATGGTTAATCAGAATTGATTATTTAATGTGACATACCGTGCATTATATGGACAAACGGTTTGGCATTCTATGGTTACATCAAATTCAACCATTTGTCTCTTTTCAAGTCTTGGTAGGGGTGGGCATGAGACAAGATGGACCGTCGGACCAAGATGGCTATGATCCCAAATTCAAATAATTTTGTTTTTTATTTTGGGATGGAATGGGATGACAATCCAACCCAAACCCAACCTTAACCGACCTGTCCTGAACTTAAAATACCTGAATCCAACCTGGAAAATAGATATTTGAATCCGACATTCCGACCAGATTGAGTTAAACCTGAACTGGAACTATGTCGGCCTGGATTTGGATCTGTACATTTACCGACCTGACCTGATTGCATTCACTATAATATTTGTTAGTCCATAGGCCAGAATAAAGCCCAAGATTACTTGCAACCCCATTTACGGTGCCCACAGCCAACCCTGCATTACCTTATCTCCTCTCATCTCATCTTTCAGTGACGTCCAACCTATTCAGCACGTCCTCGCTCCTCCCACTTCTTATCCAAATATAATGGGGCTGGGGTATACTCTAATTCAAACCAAACCTGACCTGTGTTCATCCCTAATCTAATGGCATCACATCCTTTTGGGTTCGGGTTCATTGGGGATGATTCAAGATCATGGAATCCATTTTTAAACAATAAATATTTAGCTTCAAATCCTTCAATAATCATCTCAAGGTCTAATAAAATGTCAAATTCAAATTATCTACACACATCCATGCCCTATGACATACTACAAAGCTCTCAACACTTGAATATGCCAAAGGGATGCAAAGTTAATTTCTCAATGAAACAAATGGAATAAAGGTGACAGTGAAGTGCATCAACAACAAACCCCATAGAATCGCACAAGATAGTAGGGTGTGTCTGTGCAGACATTACCTCTACTTGAAGTAGAAAGACTGTTTCCAAGAGACCCGTTCAACACAAAAGCACAGACAGTAAGATGCATAATTTCATAATACGAAGGAAGCTAAATAAACAAAGAGCCTAGATTAATGTTAAGTCACGCTGTGAATAACTCAAGTTAATATTACTATGTTATAAATACCATAATTATACAACTAAACAACAACTAGGTGAATCCCAAGAGAAAATACTATAATTATACCTTTGTCCATTGCCAATGGAGCTAGAAAAAGCATCAGTGACAATGTTCTAGTTTCGGATAAATAATGGACTAAATGAAGATGCCACGTTAAATTTCCTTTGCGTCTTATTTTCTACAAAGTTTTGGGTAGTAAATGCATCAATGCACCAAAGGTCTACCAGCAACAAACTTTGTTTTTTAGAGGTAAGTTTTAAACATTTTGACGTCCCATGTGCCAACAAGATTGGATTATGCTTTGTTTGTTGTTGTAACTATAATTATATTCTCGGGATGAGATAGAATCAACTTGGGATTGAAACTGCAACCCTATTATAATCCTTTAGTTTCGGGGAAGGGATGAGGTGTAATCTTGTTCACTAAAAACATATAATTATCCCGTCCCAAATAGCCCGGGATGGGACAGTTTCAACTCCAGGATTACAGGATTACTTGCCCAATTGCTCACCCCTAAGAGTTAATTTCAAGTTTTGTTTTTTAAACATGTGCTATTGTCCTCTAGATATCACTCACTCATTAGGCTGCTTAAAGTTCTCATACGTAAGGCTCAGCATTGTCAACACTTACGGCTGTTGGAAAAGCACTGTCCTATTCCATCAATGGATGAGGTTGCCAAAAGAGAGTGGTGTGATGATTATCAGGTTAGCAATTTTATTTTTATGTTTCTTTGTTTAACCCGATTAAAAGTAAGTGAGTAGCATTCATATATCGCTGTGTGTGAAGATGACTTTTTCCTCTTAGCATCATACATTTGGAACAAAAAGCTAATGGACTTTGGTATTAAATGGTGGGCTGGAGATAATTTATCTCAACATTTAGTGAATGATCTGTGTAGTGTATATCATTATTCCTGAGCATTTTTACAAGTGCTCGGATTTATTCTAAACTCAACATTCAAAAAAGATCCTCACACTGTTTTTTCTCCTTTGTTCTGATAGATAACATAATCATAGTGTTTTCTTTGCTGCGTGCATTTATTCTGTAATTTTTTGTGTGATGTGTTTTTACTTGTAAGGAAGAGCATGTCTCTGGTATATTTGTAACCCATTTCCATTTGTGTCTTTATCTATCACTATTTATTGTCCAAAAAACTCCTAACACTTATCTGTGTCGCAATTTCTGAATTCTGATTACTGGATTCGGGAGATCAGTCAAAGGACAATCCACATGCAAATAGCTGTACTGCATACTTTCTTGGAGATGAATTGACAGAAGATGTTTTTAGCTCAAAATCTCATGAAAGCTTCAATACAAAGCATTCTCTGTTAAGACCAAGTGCGTGTTATTCTCTGAAGAAACAAGTTGTATCATTTGTTTGGGCAGTTAGTCGGAATATTGTGCCCCCAGATTTGTTAGGAACTCCATCCAATTGGCGGCATTTGACGAAGAACATCTCCAGGTTAATTCAAATGCGCAGATTTGAGAAATTCTCTCTTAGTCAGTGCATGCATAAACTGAAAATATCTAGGTTCCCTCTGCTTTCAAGTATGTATGAAGAGAAGGGTGAAATTGATGCCTTAGATGTTGTGAGACATAAAGTCCTTGAGTGTTGGGTGATTTGGTTCTTTTCATGTTTTGTAGTGCCACTGGTGCAAGCCAACTTTTATGTAACTGAAACTGAACATGAGAATCAAGAGGTTTTTTATTATCGGAAGTCTATTTGGAAGCAGGTAAAGGTCGAAACTATGACTTGCTTAAATGGTCAGCGCTTTCTAGAATTAAATGCAGCCTCTGCCAGGGAAATCTTGAGAAAAAGATCATTTGGATTCTCGAGGGCTAGGTTTCGTCCAAAGAAAAATGGGTTAAGGATATTGGAAAATCTTAAAGCACCATCAAGAATGCCCGTGAAGTTTTCCTCCCAATCCAATGGACAGAGAAATGTTTCTCTCATGAGAAATGTCAAGTATGACCATTTTAGGTCGGTAAATTGTGCTCTTCGTGATTTGCATGCAGTGCTAAAAGGGATACAAACAAAAGAACCCGAGAAACTGGGATCATCTGTATTTAATTATAATGATGTCTACAATAAGCTTGTTTCTTTTGTGACGAATCTCAAGAATGATTTTGCAGCAATGCCTGGTGTATTCATGATTGTGTCAGATGTAGCTAAAGCTTTTGATTCCATAAACCAGGACAAATTGTTGGCTGTGATGGAGGACATTGTATCAGATGAAGAATATGTTTTAGAAAAAAGCCTCCAAGTTGTGTGCACAAAGAAATCTTTGTGGGTCAATCAGCATCTGACACTTGCACTTGAGAATGTCACATTATCCCATGCAGTTCGCCCATTGCATCACGTTCTTGTGAAACAGGTATCCTCATAACTTTAGACCGCCATATGGGACGGGTAAAAAGTATAGAGAATAGTTTTTGCCTTTCTATTTACTCCAAATGTCATAATAATCCTATAACTTTTTTTACAAAATTAATGCTTTTTATCCACGTCTAGAGACCAAGGACTAGGGTAGTTGGGTAGGCTTTTGGGCTTGGTAGTTGTTTTTGCTGTTGTCTAAGGAAAAGACTGTCCCCTCGGGGACATCCGATAAAATTGGAACGATACAGAGAAGATTAGCATGGCCCCTGTGCAAGGATGACACGCACAAATCGAGAAATGGTCTAAGGAAAATTTTCATATCCTTTGGTGTCTAGAGCAAATAATATTTGATCCAACAGGAACTCCCCCCCCCCTCCAAACTCAACAAAAAGAAAGAAGCAAACGAACAAAATAAATAAACACATAAACAGAAAGGGAAAGAAGTGTTATAACTTTACCAAAATTTATGACTTGATGAATTTCTTCATCATCACTTTTTTGAACTGCCATTATGGTTTATATGCCAAATCGATTTTAAGTTTTTTACTTCAGGATTTATATACAGTAGTCTGGTTGATGGATTAATGATTAGTTCAAGTTAAGAAGTTTCCATCACTAGCTATTCAAAATTTCAAACACAGTTTTTCATTGTTCTTGTGAAGCTGAAGCATATTGTCATTGCTCAAGTATATAGAGTATACCAATTGAATTGTACTTTCTTAAGTTGCAGCAATATTGATATATACCATATTCCATGCTACAGGAAAAAGGCAGAAAGGTGAAAAGGGGTGAGCTTACTTTTTACTTGAACGAGCACATAAAACGTAATTTGCTTATCATGGACAGCAAATTCTACTTGCAATGCCTTGGCATTCCCCAAGGAAGTATTTTATCTTCTCTGCTATGCTCATTCTACTATGGACACCTTGAAAAAAAGTTGATTTTTCCTTTTCTTGAGAAATCTTGTAAGCCTACCAATGGATGTGAAGATGAAGTCATACATGATGAGCCAAAGTACCTTCTTCTTAGGTTCATAGATGACTTTCTTTTTATATCAACCTCTAAGCTTCAAGCTTCTCGTTGCTTGAGCCGATTGCATAGAGGATTTCGTGAATTCAACTGCTACATGAATGAAGAAAAGTTTGGAATGAATTTTGACATAAACCATCTATTAGACTTGAGATCCAATAGACTGTATGTTGGAGATGATGGAATCTCGTTTCTTAGATGGAGTGGATTATTTCTTAACTCTCAAACTCTGGAAATTCAAGCAGATTATACAAGGTTATTTTCTTGCTCCCATCAGCAGTTTTTCTGTTTATATATGACATGTATTACCCCCCCCCCCCACCCCACCACCACCACCACAAAAAAGGAGTTCATGTTTCTCAAAGGTACAATTTATGAAACGGTAAAATTTGGTGGTGGTGTTGTTGTGGTACTTTTGAGTAGGGGTATGGTCTGTGTCCATACCCCCCCCCTCAAGACCCTACTCTCGTGGGATTCAACTGGGTTGTTGTAGTGGTTAATTTTGGAGTTATTTGTTTCTGACAGACATACATAGCTTATGGAGGCTGCGGCCCAAGCCCCAACTGTTAATTTTGGTGTTAATTGTTTTTTCATCTTCTGTTTCCATCAGGTATCTGAATACCCATTTGAGTTCAACCCTAACTGTTAGCTGGGAAGGTAAACGAATTCGCGAGTTGAAGTCTAAGTTGTGTTGCTATCTGCGCCCCAAGTGTCATCCCATATTTTATGATTTGAATATAAACTCGGCTGCTGTGGTCAGACTTAATATTTATCAAGCTTTTCTGCTATGTGCCATGAAGTTCCACTGCTATATCTCTGATCTTGCTAGGATTGTAAGGTTAAACACCAAGTCCTATTATGATGTTCTGGAAACTTCTTTGAGGTATGCATTTTTTATTTTATATAATGACTCCTTACCCACCCCCAAAACAACACACAAAGTGGTATTGTGAAGAACAATTATAAGTTTATCTGATCATGTCATATTTTCTTTAGAATATTGTCGACAAATGAGAAATCATATTTGGTTGGTCATATTAATGGACATGACAATGACAAAGTCGATATAAAAAATACCAGATATAATGAAAACCAACCATTTTTAGTTCAAACATGACTTGTTCTGCCAAAAAATATGGTTTTTTTATAATATTTTCCCCTGCTTAAATTTGTTGGCTTTGACATCTTTTAGGTATATGAAGAAGCTCATAAAGGGCAGTAGGAGGATTTGTTCTGATTTTCTGCCAATTATTGAAGTGGACAAGGGAGAAATCGAATGGCTCGGCCTGACTGCTTATATTAGAGTATTGACGAGGAAACAATCGCGTTATAGGGAATTACTACCCTTACTGAGGTCCAAGTTAATGGCACTTAGAACCCCAGAATGCATGTCTCCAGCTCTCAAGTATGCCACTGATGACCTACACTCCTCTGTGCTTTGGAAGATTAGGTACTGATATCTGCTGCAAAAAACTAATTTCAAGTAGGGGTAAAGGTTTGTGCGGGGTGGGATCCTCTGTCCCCCCACTCATTTTTTGACAAATCATCCACCCCACCCCTACTCATGTGCATATGCCACCCCTGTCCCACCACCCCTCAAAGGTGGGGACGTGGGGTTATATTAATTTAGGGGTGGGGTGGATGATTTGTCAAAAGATGAGTGGGGGGACAGGGAGTTGGGACATGCTGTGGGACAGAGGATTGCAACCCGGTTTTATGCACAACACAAAACTGTATTTGCTGCGTCAAGTCTTTCATTAGAAGAGGTGATCATAAGATGTGTGGTTCAATCATATTTCATATTTTATTAGAATGGAAAGTATATTTTATATTTTGTTCTTTTGTTTGGCGGTTGTGGTGGTACAATCATACATATTTCACTTTGATTATCACTCTCTTCTAGCTTTTAAGTACAAATTTTATATACTCTCTGTTCTTGAATATTTGTCAAGTTTTGACTTTTTAAATTAACCACTTTTAACCTCTGACTAGTAGTTACTTAAATTTATACGGTATATTAATCAGATAAAATAATATTCTGAAAATATTTTATAAAACAAATCACTTAAAGTTGTTTTTGTATCAATATTTAATATCGATTTTATTTAATTAATAGTTAAAGTTTGTCAATTTTGACTACAAAAAATTAAAACTAGACTAATATTCAAGGAGTGATAATACAATTTGACCAATGTTTGTGTAAAGTGTACAAATTTACTAAATGAATGTTCCGGCAAAAAAAATCAAAAGATGAACAAATTCACATAAAGATGAACTATTTCATTAAAATTGTTTTAAATTACATTTTCAGAAGAATTGAGTACAATTAATCCTTTGTGGCACTCAACACCTTTTTTTTGTTTTTAAATACAAAATTGACCACATGCAAATCTGTCAAAGCTGAATATTTTCTGTCAAGAAATGTATTTCTCCCTCCCCAAATGAGGGTTAGTTCCAATTTCAACACCAAAGGATCCAAAACACAACACATTAATTCAAACAAATGTGAGTCAAATAGAACTCCGTAAGATAATAATCTTGATATGAAAATGACTAAAACATATGATTTCCATCTTATCCAAAATTATAATTTTACATTTGTTGGTTTCTATCCTCTTAACCTCTTCCCTAAACGGCTAAACCCACACCGCACCCCACACTAGTCCGATTCCTGCGCCCACACCGTGGACCCCTATCTACCTCCTCCATATGTGTGGCGATTATATATTGCATAATAACCACACATTTAAAGGGGGTTGAAGTGGAGGGCAAGAGTTGGGACGGAGGGGGGGATTCTTGGGGTAAGTTAGGGAAGTAGGAACTATCAATTTTGTGAATGACACCGCTAGTGACACTGTTAGCCAGTGTCAATGAAACCCTACCCTGGAACTTATACTATCATTAAAAAAAAGAAAAAATGAAAATGTATGTTATACAGGAGATGGATAGATAAATTGGATCATTCTATTTTTTTCATCCCTTAGTCATATATCTTTTTCCCATTTTTTATTCTTGTGGTCAACCGAAGGACTAATTGAGTACACTGTTTTTTTTATTTTTGTTATCAAACTAGAAAAGACATCAAATGTTTCATTGTTTGTGATGTATAAGTAATCATTATATGTATATTTCTGAGAAATTTTTTATTATCTAAGCAAGTGAATTCTAACCCGTGTTGATTGGATTGACCCGTGATTCGGGATGATACCCGATCGGTGGATCCACTCATCATCCACTTCCAACATTTACTCCATTCGTCCAAAATGTTTACCGCATTACACAAAATAAAGCAAAATTTTAAGTTTCAATTCATTTTATATGAAGATTGGTTTAGAAATAAAATATCTCGTACAAAATTTACATATTTAAAAGCTGCGTCAATTTTTTTTAAATAAAAGGTGACAAACATATTTTATTTATCAAATAATTAAAAAAACGTTTAAATAAATAAAAATTCTTGTGATTTTTGAAGGGAAAAATACCAAAATAAAAGTAAAACATGGAGAAAGTATTGAAATATGAGTAAATTTTATATTGTTTATCTCCAAAATAGAAGTTACGATGCTAATAATATCAACGTATAATATCAAAAAACATTATGAAATTCAAGAAAGATATATAGAACTCAGACTTTGAAAAAAGAGTTACTACCTCCGTCCCAGAATATTTGTCTATTTTCATTTTTACACACCATCCAATACACTTCTTTAATCCATTTTATCTTGTAATTTGTATATTAAAAAATTATAAAAATTATATATTAATAATCTATATGTTAAGACAAATCAAACAAGATCACACATGACTATATTTAGGCTTACACATTGAGAGAATTTGATGAGTCAAAGTGTTTAGATGAACAGTTCTAAAAGTTAAAACTGAACGAATACTCCGGAACGGAAGGATTATGTCTTACTCATATTTGGACAATTTTTTATATTTGAATTCTTTTTTTGGACTTAAGAATAATTTGCTTTTATGGTTTTCGATTCGCTAACTGCGTCTTAACGGCTCAACCGAGTCACTGCCCCAGTACTGGTCTAATCTAACCCCGTATTTTTTGCTTTCGTCCTCAAGCCTCAAACCCTTCTTCTTCTTCTTCAGATCGTCCTCTCATCGGCGAACGGTTCAGCTTAGGATAAAGCGCAGCTTCCTGAAATGGCGGCAATCGCAGGACGCGCTGGTTCAACGCGATTATCTCTCCTCCAAAAGCTCTTCACTTCGGCCCAGAGATCTACCGATCAACGATCCCTTGTCTGCGCTACTGTCTCCAACCCCGTGGTAATACCGCGATCTATTAATGAAATGGTGATCAGATTCTCATGTAAAATTTGATATTGTTCGATTTTCTGTTTTTGATGTTTTTTTTGGATACTTTATTTGAGTACCGTGCTTTGGATATATAGTTTCTGCTAGGTGTTGTAAATGCATTTTTACCATTTTGGTTCCCTAATTGGCCCCGAGAGATCTTAAATCTGTTTGATTTGTGTTTCGAGCAACCATTTGTCAGCTGGAAAGAGTGCTCAGTTGCTTTTTATGAAAACATTGTTTTTTCTTTAAATTTGGGACAATGCAATCGAAGAAAAGAATAGCTACAAAATTCGTTATCTGGGCTAAACAAATTGTAAATATTTGTAATGTGGATTACCCTTTTAAACAAGGTTCCCACAATTTAAATTCCCAGTTATCTTTCCAGATTACTTTAAGAAACACCTTCTAAATATCATTTCCCTCTCTACCAATAGGGCGGAGGTGAAGTCTGGCCACAGTATCGTTTGTCTCTCTCCCTTTAAGAAACGCCCTCTAATATCTTTTGACAGACCCTACTCTTGAGTTTGAAGTACTGGTTTTGGTATGTTTGCCGATCAGACTTTAAGAGAAACAATCATCTGGGAAATTGTGTGTTCTTCCTGTCATTGTTGATGGAACTTAAGTTTGTACTCCGTTATTTATTGCATGAAAGTTGAGCAAGCTACTTTTGGTTGGAATGTATTAATGATGAATTGCAAATAAAATGTGAATACTATTGGTTGTGATATTTATCGATGCTCAATGCTTATAGCCTCACATGCCTGATTCACAATGTGCTCTGTTACTTTAAACAAGTGTTTGAATTGCTTTGTGTCTTTCTTGCAGCTGTTGAGAAACTATGCAACTACCCCTGTTTCAAAAGAACAAAAAGTTAAGGTATGCTTTCATGATGTGATGAACTATTCCAATCAAAGACAGTGATACAAGTAGATACGACTGTGTTACTTTATCATGAGATTTTTGATATAACACCGCCACACTGGATTTATGCATTCATAGACTTGAATCTTTCTGATACATCTTAACGCTCTCATCTCCCACCTTGTAACGATATTTCAGGTGCCCTTGAAATTGTATGGGGTTTCTGGAAATTATGCCTCTGCTCTGTACCTTGCAGCAGTGAAATCCAACGTGCTGGACAAGGTTGAGTCAGAGCTTTGTGACCTTATTGATGCTTCAAAGAAAAGTCCTACATTTACACAGTTCATGAATGATCCATCTGTACCTGTTGATACTAGAATGAAGGCCATGAAAGATATTTGTGCCCAAGCCAAATTTGGAGATGTCACAAGGAACTTCTTGTGTATGACTCCTTGATATTGTTTAGAATTTTTGACTAATTTTATGTTTGTTGATGGCGTGTTATATCTGGACTCTGGTTACTTGCATTTATTCTTTGCATATTGTGATGACTTGAATTTCTGTAACTCTTGTTTTGTTGGGCTGTTGCGGGTTTTTTGGAGGAGAACGGGTGAGGTGATGTTCATTTTTCAAATTTAGATGTTTGGAAAGGAAGTGAAGTTGAAAAACTATATAGGGATACACGACTTAACTAAATATATGTGAAGTAGTTATTTTCTAGTATACATAAGTAAATTAAGTAAAAATCTATCCTTTGCTCTCTTTCCTCCTATACCCCACAATCTAACTAACCCTTTGCCTTGTGCATATCCGGGTGGTTCTCATGTTGTCTGCATTCTGCTCTTCCTTTTTTTGTTTGTTATTTTTATACTGTTCGTTGTCTAGTACAGATGTTGATTTTTAACTTACATATCTGGAGTATACAGTGACATCAGGATAAATGTATATAAAATTTGATCATTTGAAAGTGTTAACACTATATGATGCTAAGACTTAAGCGGTTAGGCGCTTATCAATTTATTTGTTTTATCTTTTGACCATAAAAAGGCTACCAGACTAGTAATGCTCTCTTTGTTTCACTTGTCTAGTTGTTTTGTCTGAAAATGGGAGGCTGAAACAGCTTGACCGCATTGTGAAACGATTCAAAGAGTTGACTATGGCACACAGGGGAGAAGTCAAAGCCATTGTGACATCAGTGATTGTGAGTTTATATTCTTCAGTTCCCAATTACATCTTTCTAGAGTGGATTTTTAGTACAGGAAATATATTGTTGTGTGAGTAATATTTTTGAGCTGTTGTAATTTTTTGTAAGAGTGATGAATCAGAAAAGGGTATTGAAGTCATTGCGTAGAGCAAAAGGAAGTTGTAACTATTAATTAATTCTTTGTAAACAATTAAGTGTGCCTTTGGAATCAAGCTGGGCCGTTGGGGGTGCGAGGCCTAGCCCAAGCAATATCGGCCTAACAAAATATAGGAAAATATAATTTGCAAAAGATTTAACTACTTGACCATATTTTTCATATAAATCTAATATAGATGATTTGAAAATCTACCGAAAGCTAAGAGTTTCAACTTTCTTAAGAGACCCCTCTACAGCATTCATGTTTTAAGTTCCAGGCTTTGGGCTTTCATGGTCTTAATTGTCCTCCATTGCCATCATTTTTTTGAAGATAACATTATATGAGTTATGAGTAATTATGTGCGAAGCACTAATACTTGGTTAGATTCATCAAATGAGACTTTAAGAAGCTTCATTAACATAACCACCTTTGTTTTGATTTAGTGGTCAGGGAGACAAATTACATCAATCATATATTATATGTAATATGTTTAAATTATATTGTCTTGTATTGATAATGCTATTGGAAAGCAAATTTATGGCAAACAAGTTCATCTATATGATTTTAGATTAATTAGAATTTTGACATTTTATGATTTTATTTAATTAATTAGTTTGTAATATTTTCATTCACAAGATTATTAGGCTTGTGCAATGATATGAGTGTTACTCAAAAAGTTGTTTAAACTTGTGAGATTTCTAGTTTAACCAGGGCAACTTGTGAAAACATGAAAGTCTTAGCAGAATTGTGGTCCCTAAATGTCAAAATGGCTGAATACCGAATGTTGTAAAATAGGGAGTTGTTAGGAGGAACTAGGAAGAGTAAAATTTCACCTTTTAACCATTGTATGGAATCATATATACTTTGTGTTTCATGTCATGTTTCTCCTGCAGCCCCTTCCCGCAGAAGAGGAGAAAGAATTGAAAGCCACATTGCAGGACATGGTTGGACGTGGGAAGTCCATTCAAATCGAGCAGAAGGTATGCTACACTATTTTTCTCTAAAACACCTGTGCAAAGCAGAACTGTTTTTCTTTTTAAGTTCTAATAGAGAAATCTGTGTCTTGATGACAGATTGATCCAAGCATTCTCGGTGGTCTTGTACTGGAATTTGGGCAGAAAGTTTTTGATATGTCGATAAAGACTCGGGCCCGCCAGATGGAGAAGTTCCTTCGCGAACCCATCAACTTTTGATTGCCCTGCCCTTCCCGCAATCTTCTTGCTTTCAAGGTGTTTTCTGTTCTCTTACAGAAGAAAGCTCTATTTCACTCTGGCCTCCTTAATCTTCCCTTTTTAATGTTCACTTTTATGATAAGATGTTCTTATTCTGCTGTTTTTTCAGCAAATAAAAAAATGTCGGGAATTTGTGTGAATTCGTTCACATGAAGAAAACCCCAAATTAGATACCTTTTAATGCCAAATTTTACAGCAGCAGCATTTTGCTCTTCAAAATGGATAATAAAACTACTAATGACTCGATCAAGTGTGCTGGGTAACTTCTCTGTGAATGGGTTCCCTATCTTTTTTTTACTTTTTTGGTTTTGCTTTTATTAACAGTCTGCATTTTCCTTGATGGGTTATTTAGTTTTGGTTTTATAAAATTGAGGTCTTGAGCGGCAATCAAAGGTCAGCAATTGTAGTAGTGGGTTGCTGCTGTGTTAGCTCTTTAAGCCTTCCTGACTACAAACAGCCCAAAATTCAGCCAAAGACACTTCAAAGTTCCTTCCACAATGACCTCAAGAAACTACAAGACACCCCAATGCAAGTACCAGGAACATGTTTCACTTCCCGTCAATCACATTGACATCATAATTTTATGAGGTGCACTATATATATATATATATATATATATATATATATATATATATGCTAAAGTTATCGAGAAGCTCAAATATTTTGTAATAAAAATGTAAATTCTTTTGGGACGGATGAATAGAATATATAGAGTATATGGAATACTTTTTCCCTTCGATTACGATGAGAAGAGGGAAAAAACAACAAAACATACACATTAGATTCATTCTATAGACTTTTCTCCTTGGGCTCAACTTGCTTTCTATAGCTTCTTTTTTGGGAGAGAAAAAGAGTTAATTATATAAATAGTCCTTGTACTTTTAAAAGTTGTAAAATAATCTCTGTGGGTAAAGGAACTGATGCATAATTAGTTCATTCTTTAATGAAATGTAAAGCACACAGAACATAGGTGTACTGTATGAAAATGTGAAGCATATAACAATAAAAGGTTTATCTCATTAAATTACCCTCGTCTTTGTGGTTAAAGGCAATGAAATGGTCTTCTTCTAGCTCTTTTCTCATACGATTTTACCTTTGAATAAAGCTACTTGAAATATACACTGTACTACGATTTAACTATATCACAATAGAAGAGATGAAGAATTCATGGTAAGAGTTAAAAGATGGAAGGTGTTGTACTATAGTTCAAAGGTACACATCATAATTGAAATTTTAGATTTACCTTTTTACTGTTACATTATTGACGCATTTGCATAATACGCGCGTATTGTATATATTTTATGAATTTTCTAATATAGGGACTAATTATGCTATGTTTGTTTGACCACATGGATTATCTGACTATATATCCACTTATGAAACACCACAGGAACTATACACGCATATAACTAAAAAAATCAATTCATTCATCAATTCTATTACTAACCGAACTTCATGAAAATGTTAAGTTTTTTTTCTTTCTATTTTCCAAGACATTTGACTTTACTCTATTCATTTCAAATTGATACTTGTATTAAAAAAAATTGGTAAACTATCTTTTATGGTGGACAAAGTTTGAGTTTTTATACACAAAATATGATCATACACTTCTCATATTTATTAATTACTAGTCCCTCGGTTTCTTAAAACCCTTCCTCTTTCATTTTTTTGTTTTTCTTAAAATACTTCCCTTTTCTATTAAAAAATCACTTTTACCCCTACTTTTTCATACCCTACCTATCACATCATACTTTTTTCACTAACAACTAAGCTATCACATCTTACTTTTACCCATCACATCAAGAGCAAAATTGGAAAGTTAACTACAATTTAACACTTCCTTATTTTTCCCCAAAGTCAAAAGAGGAACCGTTTTGAGAAACGAAAGGAGTATATTAAAAGTGATTTAAAATAGAGTAATTTCTCTAAATAGTTCTTTATAAGTGGAGATTTTTCATACTTAGTCCATATTTATCAAATATTATGTTCGCGACTCTTATCGATTGGATTTCGTTCTCTATTTAGTCCTTGTCTAACGGCACTAAGGCAAAAAAATAAACGCAAGGCCAAACGTGGAATGACACTCAATTAATAGACACTGTCAACATAATATTTGATAAATATGGATTAAATATGAAAAACTCCCGTTATAAAAGACTATTTTGATAATTTACTAGCTCCATCACCAATCATGATATGAAAGAATACCTAGAAATTCGTATTTTCTAACCCTCATTTTTCTTTCTTCTCTTATTCTATGCACTTTCAATCGTTAGCTACTTTGTTTGAAACAAAGAGAGCTCGTGACTTTATTTGATTTTTACAGTATCTTTTCTTCTTTCTATTGGCCTTTTTTTAATCTTATTTTTTGGTCAATTTTTTTCTTGAACTGTACTCCGAGTATCTTTTTCTTGCGTAGGATATACCGTGTAATGGAGTTCACCTTTTTTGGTTCCATATAATTGCGTTAGTAAGGAAACTTTTTAAATTCAATGGCATTATGATAATTACTCATTAAATTATTGTATTTTTTAATTTTTTTTCTTTTTCTACGTACTTTATTTATTTAAATCATTACAAATGGAGTACTACCTCTATTCTTGAGAATTTGGCCGTGTTTGGCATCTTTGACTGACTTTGGCTTTTTTGACCAAGCGAACCGCCAAAACCATTATTTGGCTAATGGCTTTTTCACTTGGCATTTTGATCCGAAAAGCCAAAATCTGAAATGCCAAGGTGAGTAGCATTTGGACTTGGCGGTTAGGAAAAATATTTTTTTTAAAATCATTTTTTTTGAAAGATATTTTATAATATATGTAAAAAATAAAAATAAAAGTTAAAAAAATTAAATACGAAAAAATAAAATGAAATTAAAAAAAATTATATTTATAATTCATTAAAAAATTTATATTTATAATTTATTATGAATTAAATGAAATAAAAATTTAATATTCCATATAGTAAAGATTTAATTTTTACATGTAAAAAAATGAAAAATAAATATCATGTCTATATATATATATATATATATATATATATATATATTAAAAAATATAAATATATTTTTTTAAAATTAAAAAAATTAAATAAAAAATTATATATATATATATATATATATAATTTTTTATTTAGTTTTTTTAATTTTAAAAAAATATATTTATGATATGATATTTAAAAAAAATTGTAAAATAGACATACCATAAATGGAGGGATGTCCTTTTATGTAATTTTATTTACAAACAGCTAACTATAAACAGCTAAAGTTGCCAAACACTTAAAATTTAACTGCTAACAGAAACAGCCGGTCAAAACAGCTAACTCAATCAGCCATTCAAATCAGCTAACATAAACAGCCAACAGCCAACTGCCAACTGCTAGTATCCAAACAAGGCCTTTGTCCAGTCTTAACTTTTTTAATCAATTATTTTCAACTTCTGACCTATAATTAAATTTTATATATATATTAATTAGATAACATCATATTTTAGAACTATTTTATATAATAAATCTAATAAAACAGTTTTTATATTAATATCTAATATTAATTTTATTTAATTTGAAATCACAATTTATCAATTTTGAATCAAAAAAGTTCATAGTGGACAAATACTCATCAACGACGGAGACACTATTTGAGACACTATTTCTAAATAAACATTCTACCGAATGGACAGTGGGATCGAATTTCTTCTTTTGCCTTATTCCATTCATTCATCCATTAATAAAAAATTCTAGGAGTACAATCATTTTTTAAAAACATTTGTGAGTGATATTTTGATATACATACGCAGAAAATATCATCTTAAGTTATACTCTTTTCCTCACACAAAACATTTTTGGTTTCGACTTTTAAAATATTTAAGGGAAATATATTTTGGTATTGACTTTTTAAAAATGCCCTAAGATGTGGAGGATAAAAGTTGGAAGTAATATGTAGATTAATAGTGAAAAAATGTGATGAGATAAATAAGTTAAGAATTAATAAGTATAAAGATGATTTTTTATTAGTAATGAAAAAAGGTTTTTGAGTCGGATGAAAAAAGAAAGAAAAAAAAATTTGTGAGACACAGGAAGCATATATAAATATTTAACGAGCAATTCTTGTGGAAAACAGCATCGTAAACTATTGAAATGCTGTTGAAACTTGAAAAAAGGGTAGCAATTGTTCGATTGAAATGACTTATAATTAAATAAAAATCTAATGATATATGTTAATTAAATAAACGAATATATTTTGAAAATATTTTACATGATAAATCCAATAAAATCATTTTTAAAAAAGATCCCCAAATATATATGTAAAATATATAGAAAAATACAAAATGTGAATTTGTGCGTCACTGTGATAATATTGACACTGTATATTACTTCCTCCGTTTGCAAAAAGGCTTCCTATTTTGACTTGAAGCAAAAATAAGGAAGTATTAAGTTATAGTTGATTTCCAATTTTGCCCCTGATGTGATGGGTAAAAGTAAGATGTGATGGATAGATTATTAGAGAAAAAATATGATGTGATAGGTAAGGTATGAAAAAGTAAGGGTAAAAGTGGTTTTTTAATAGATAGTGGAAGTATTTTGTTAGAAGTGAAAAAAAAGAAAGAGGTAGTGTTTTTGAGAACGGATGGAGTAGCATTTTACAATATTCTTGGTTATTATATGTTGACATTATTAGCACTGTAACTCTTTTTTTGAAAATAAAAACATAGAAATATCATTTTGATATTTTCTATATATTTTACTCATAATTTAGTCCTTTTATTATTGTATCATTATTTAAAACGGAGTACAAATTTTATTTAATGATGGTTAAATTTAATAAAATTACAAAAAAATTAAAGCTAGCAAAACCGAGTACAAATTTAATGTAGGGCTACAAATTTAATAAAATGATACGGAGTATATAAATATTCTTAAACGTTCTTAGTGCAATTTTTTTTATATTATTGTTCAAATTTCATAAAATGAATTGAGTTAATTATGGTAATATGTATAGAGAAAACTTCTTTGAGACCGAGTAGTATTTAATCTTTTCATTGCCAATCTCTAACGTAAAGTCATCATCGCATTCATTTAACCAAATTATCATGGGAAAAAAAAGGTAAAATTGAGTTTCTCGCAGTAAGTTGCAGATTTATACGGAGTATGTTTCACACTGTCTTGCATTGGAAGGTAATTTTTGGTACTCTATCCAATGTGCTGCGTAAAAAAATTCTTACTTTATTTATTTCTTAAGAAATAAAAATCTATTACAGTTATGCCATTGACATTATTAGACTGGGCCATACTCCCTCCGTCTAGAAATATTTTTCTCATTAGAATTTTTAACCACGTTTCAGTAAGAATATATTGATGATATTAAATTTATATCATAATACAATGTATATTTTCTACATATCGTAGTCAAAGTTTATAAACTTTGACCACGAAAAGTCTTGGGAAGATCATTTTCGAACGGATGGAGTAATATAATTGAGTTTTGAATCATGTTGAAAGATTGAATTCAATCGATTACTTAATTGACTCAA